GAGGGCGAAGTGAAGCAACTTGTGCAAAGTTGATGCTTGGAACTTAAGAAACGTGGAGCGGAACGAGCTCGAAGCACTTGTCAAGATCAAAGCAAGAACTTCCTTGTGATAAGCAAATCAAACCCACAAAATCGGTGTTGTTCCGTAGGTCGTTTCCTTAACGCACGCCGCCTCCATCAGCGTTTCAAAATGGCACATCCATGCACACAAGATACTCGTACATATCGTCGTCGCAGCAGCTGTGACTCTGTGAGGGGGCTTACATGCATACGGGCTGACTCGGTGGAGATTCTCGCTGAATCTGGTGCCGTCATCGTGTGCAGGAGAGCTTGGCCTAGAAACTGGGTGAGCCTCTGCCAGAAACCCCGGATTGGAAACTATCGGGGCCCCGGAAGAGCGCGAAAAGTTACCGGATCAGGATGGCAGGCCAAGCCCCTCCGGGGGTTTCCAGGTCCGGAAACTGCCGATGATGCTGCCACACCGTCACCGGGTGTAAGGGGAGATGGCTGGGGAATGATTGAGATAACTATCAATGCGACCGATGGCCCGCAAATCCGATGGAGGGCCTTGGCTATCCAGTAGTATCCTGTAAATATATAAAAATATAATAAGCACAAGCTGGAAATTCAATGAGCTCCCGTAAAACTGATTACAATCTTCGGCACTCTGGCATTCCGCTCGATCGTGGCTGCAGAAGCGTGTATTGGAGCCGACACTGCTCCAATGCTTAGTTATGAATTGATCCCTAACTGAAGCCTGCATCGTTTTGTTAGGGATATCTGCAGGGTATTGATAAAATATCGGACTCAACGCTTGAAAATCGCGTGAGCATAGGCCGCCAATCGCCACAAGTCGGAACAGGTCGGGACCGATTGACCATGTGAGCCTGAGAGTGGACAATTCTCCGCTTCACCCGTAAAACCAGTCCTTGGACAATGGTACACCCTCGCGCCGCTGACAAATCGGGTCGCGGAGAAAAGCCAGAGGGCTTCTCCAACATCGCCAATGCTTGACTGCCTGCAAGGCATTTCAGTTTCCGCTCCCCATCCGAACTGTTCCGAAGGCGAATAGTATAAGCATCTCCTGTGTGCCGGCCGTTCACGGAGAACACTTTTTCAACTCGTTGGCGGATCGGACGACGTGATCAGGCAGAGCAGTGGAAGGGGTATCTGTATGTATGATGTGCCAGTGTTATGGTGGCTAGCGCTCCTGGGGCTTGCCTATGTAGTGCCTGGGTCTGCTGCGGCTCTCAGCGGAGGTGTTCATGGTGCATATGTGCCCACATACATGTACATTCTAGATTCCAGTCATCGGTTCATGTCCAGTGTTCAGCGACTCCACCTTTCCTGCCTTGGCACATGAGCACTTGCCACCCACTCTGGGCAGGCATTGGGCCAGTGTCGCCTTCTCGTACCAAAACGCGTGCATTACTTCCATTCCAAGTGTACGTACAAAGAGCAGCAAAGCCCATCTTTTGCTTTGATAATCCTGCCTAGTTGCATGGTGGGCACTGGGGGGAAGGAGGACAGTGGCCTGGCGCCTGCCCTTCCACTTTCCAGCCACTCCAGTTGCAGGCTCATAGTGCATAGTTACCTACGTACATCGAGCACATCGGCTCGGGGCATACCGCCACTCATGGTGAGAATCAGAGCTGAATCTCGACGGTCAACCCCAGTTAGGAATTGCGGGCAGAGCAGTGTCACTGTGCCTCGTCGCAATGCCGCGCGCTCTCTCTCTCACGGACTCAACCCTCCCCCCCACTCTTGCTCACTCTTCTCTCGCTTGTCATATCCATCCGCGGCTCGACTTTGCACCCATCTTCCACCGTTCATATCTCGCCTCTTCCATCCTGACCACCATCCCCATCGTGAACAGCAGTCTGTCCGTCGTCGTTCTTCTTCCATCCTCTTTGCAGAACATCCTAGTGCATTAGAGGCAAGACAGCTCGACGCTTCCAGCCTTTCGGGATCCCGTTGTCGAGCTACGACGACGGAGACAGTGGAGACAGAGCGAACGAGCTGCCCAGATCATATCTCCGCAACCATTGTCTTCTCGCCACACCCGTGCGTGCTACCCGAGTCACTCATACACACACGCACACTCGGCGCCGCCCACGATGGTCGCCACGTCGTTCCAGACGGGTAAGAGCCTTGCCAACAACCAAATGGAGAACAGCCTGACGGCCATCATCGAGGACCATGGCGAGGTCACCACCTTTGAGGACCCAGTCAAGTCCGGTTTCCACAATGTTGCCCGTGACGCGAGCTCCTGGGCTGGCGGCTCCCTCCCCGCTGCCCAAGGTTTGTACGATCCAGACAACGAAAAGGACAGCTGCGGTGTCGGATTCATGGTCCACATCAAAGGCAAGCCTTCTCACAAGATCGTCAACGATGCAAAGCAGCTGCTTTGCAATATGACACACCGTGGTGCCACTGGTGCCGACGCAAGGGACGGAGATGGCGCGGGCGCTATGACCGGCATGCCAGATGCGTTCTTCAGGCGCGAAGTCGAGCTCGACATGGGCATCCAACTCCCTGAGCAGGGGCAGTACGCCGTCGGAAACTTGTTCTTCACCCCTAAGGACGATAAGGTCCGTGCGCAGCACCAAAAGATTTTCGAGGACCTCGCCGTCGAGCTCCACCTCCGCGTTCTTGGCTGGCGTGATGTTCCGGTCGATAACACTATCCTCGGCCCTGCAGCTCTCTCCAAGGAGCCAAAGATTTTGCAACCATTCGTCGTGCTTGCCGACCACTACGGCAAGGCCTCCAAGTCCTGCGAGAACCCATCCGCACGCTTCGACAGCCAGTATTTCAACCGGCAGCTGTACGTCCTGCGCAAGTCCGCTACCCACAAGATCGGCCTTGCCAACTGGTTCTACATCTGCTCGTTAAGCCCTTCAAACATCGTCTACAAGGGCCAGCTGTCGCCGAGGCAGGTGTACGACTACTACTATGATCTTGTCAACGCACGGTATGCCAGCCACTTTGCGCTCGTACACTCTCGTTTCTCCACCAACACATTCCCCTCGTGGGACAGGGCTCAGCCAATGAGGTGGGCTGCACACAACGGTGAGCAACCTTTGTTGACACTGTTGGGCTTTCGGAGCAGAGGCTAAGTTTTTGTTTGATTGTGCCCTGCAGGTGAGATAAACACCATCCGCGGCAACAAGAATTGGATGCGCGCTCGTGAGGGCCAGCTGCGCTCCGAGACGTTTGCCGACGAGCTGGATATGCTATACCCGATCATTGAGTCGGGTGGCTCCGACTCGGCTGCATTCGACAACGTGCTCGAGCTGCTCGTCGTCAACAACGTCTTGACGCTGCCTCAGGCCGTCATGCTAATGATTCCAGAGGCTTGGCAGGGCAACGAGGCGGAGATGGAGCCGGAGAAGGTCGCCTTCTATAAGTGGGCAGCCTGCTTGATGGAGCCTTGGGACGGTCCCGCGCTCTTTACCTTCTCCGACGGACGCTTTTGCGGTGCCAATCTGGATCGCAACGGTCTGCGCCCGTGCCGGTACTTTATCACGGACGAGGATATTATGATCTGCGCCTCCGAGGTCGGCACTATTTACATCCCCCCCGAAACGGTCCTCTCCAAAGGTCGTCTACAGCCGGGAAAGATGCTGCTTGTCGACACCGTCGAGGGCCGCGTCGTCGATGACAAGGAGCTCAAGATGTCCACCGCCCAGCGCGCAGACTTTGCCGCTTGGCTCGAGGCGCAGCTGCTGCACCTACCTGACATTGTTAACCACGTCCGCAGGGCCTCTGGCCACTCGATTGCTCCGACGCTCGACGACTACAAGCTTAGCCAGGACCCTAAGCTTTTGGCGTTCGGTTACACGGTTGAGCAGATTAACCTGCTTATGCTTCCCATGCTTGCCACTGGCAAGGAAGCGCTTGGGTCGATGGGTAACGACGGTCCACTTGCGTGCTTGGCCGAGGCGCCCCGCCAGATTTACGACTACTTCCGTCAGCTCTTCGCACAGGTCACCAACCCTCCAATTGACCCGATCCGCGAGTCCGTCGTCATGTCGCTCGAGACGTACGTCGGCCCCGAGGGCAACCTGCTCGAGATGCGCCCGGATCAGTGCCACAGGCTGCGTCTGTCAAGCCCGATGCTCAGCATCGATGAGATGAATGCGTTGAAGCAGCTCGGCACCGTGCACAAGGACTGGCCTTCGCGCGTCATCGATATCACCTTTGACAAGGGCGAAGTCATTGACGGCTACGAACGCACGCTTGACCGCATCTGCACCGAGACCTCGCAGGCGATCCGCGACGGCATCCGCGTCGTCATCCTTTCGGACCGCAATGTTGGCCGTGACCGCGTCGCGATCAGCTCGCTCGTCGCCTGCGGTGGCGTGCACCATCATCTTATTCGCAACAAGGAACGCAGCAAGATCGCCCTCATGATCGAGACGGCCGAGGCGCGCGAGGTGCACCACTTCTGCGTCCTCGTCGGCTACGGTGCCGACGCCATCTGCCCCTGGCTGTCCCAGGAGGCCATGCTCAAGGTCCACCGTGAGGGCCTGATCAAGGAGGATATCAGCGCGGAGCAGATCCTTGCGAACTGGAAGACCGCCGTCGACGGCGGTCTCTTAAAGGTCTTCAGCAAAATGGGTATTTCGACGCTCGCATCGTACAAAGGCGCGCAGATCTTCGAGGCCCTCGGGCTAGACAACTCGGTCATCGACCGATGCTTCGTCGGTACCGCTAGCCGCATCAAGGGCGCCACTTTCGAGCTCATCGCCATGGACGCTCTCGAGTTCCACGACCGTGGATACCCCTCGCGTGAGACCATCACCGTTCCTGGTCTGCCCGAGTCGGGCGAGTACCATTGGCGCGACGGTGGTGAGCCCCACGTCAATGACCCGGTCTCCATTGCTAACCTGCAGGACGCCACTCGCGAGCGCAACCAGTCCGCCTGGGACGCCTACTCGAAGGCGGCACACAATTCTGTCAAAGCGACTGCGCTCCGTGGTCTGCTCGACTTTGCCTACGACAAGCGCAGGCCTATCCCCGTCGACCAAGTCGAGCCATGGACCGAGATCGTCCAGCGCTTCTGCACCGGTGCCATGTCTTACGGCTCCATCTCCATGGAGGCCCACTCTGCCCTTGCCATCGCCATGAACCGTCTCGGCGGCAAGTCCAACACGGGCGAAGGCGGTGAGGACGCTGAGCGCTCCATTCCGCTCCCCAACGGCGATTCGCTGCGCAGCAAAATTAAGCAGATCGCCTCGGGCCGCTTCGGTGTCACGAGCAACTACCTTGCGGACGCTGACGAGCTGCAGATCAAGATGGCGCAGGGCGCCAAACCTGGTGAGGGTGGCGAGCTCCCGGGCCACAAGGTCTCGTCTTCCATTGCGCGCACGCGCCACTCGACAGCCGGCGTCGGCCTTATCTCGCCGCCCCCACACCACGATATTTACTCGATCGAGGACTTGAAGCAGCTGATCTACGACCTCAAGTGCGCCAACCCGCGCGCACGTGTCAGTGTCAAGCTCGTCTCTGAAGTCGGTGTCGGCATCGTCGCTGCCGGGGTCGCGAAGGCCAAGGCGGATCACATCCTGATTTCTGGCCATGATGGTGGCACAGGTGCCTCGCGCTGGACGGGCATCAAGTACGCCGGTCTTCCGTGGGAGCTCGGCCTCGCCGAGACGCACCAGACGCTCGTGCTGAACGACCTGCGTGGACGTGTTACTGTCCAGACGGACGGTCAAATCAGAACCGGTCGCGACGTCGCTATCGCAACGCTGCTCGGCGCTGAAGAGTTCGGCTTTGCGACCACCCCTCTGATCGCAATGGGCTGCATAATGATGAGAAAATGCCATTTGTGAGGCCATTATCCTTTGACAACATTCTTGCAAGCAGTACTGACACCCTTATTTCATTCCAGGAACACTTGCCCTGTTGGAATTGCGTACGTTCACTCTTCTCTGCCGTTAATGGCTATCGTTGATGATTGACCCCTTTCACCCCTCTGTGCAGCACGCAAGACCCTGAATTGAGGGAGAAGTTCGCTGGCCAACCGGAGCATGTTGTCAACTTTTTCTACTACCTTGCCGAGGAACTGCGTTCCATCATGGCCAAGCTCGGCATGCGCACAATCAATGAGATGGTCGGCCGCTCGGACTTGCTTCGTGTCGATGACACCCTTCGCACCCCCAAGACTCGCAACCTTGACTTGAGCGCTATCCTCAAGCCGGCTCACGAGATGCGTCCTGGTGCCGCCACCTACAAGGTCCGCCAGCAGGATCACCGCCTCTACGTCCGTCTCGACAACAAGTTCATCTCCGAGGCTGAGCCTGCACTCATGGAGGGTCTTCCTGTCCAGATCGAGTGTGATGTTGTCAACACCGACCGTGCCCTTTGTGCAACTCTGTCTTACCGTGTGTCCAAGCTATACGGTGAGGAGGGTCTGCCCCGTGACACGATCCACATCAACGCCAAGGGCTCCGCCGGCCAGTCATGCGGTGCTTTCCTCGCACCCGGCATCACATTCGAGCTCGAGGGTGACGCCAACGACTACGTGGGCAAAGGCATGAGCGGTGGTCGCTTGATTGTCTACCCACCCAAGAATTCTAGTTTCAAGGCCGAGGAAAACATTATCGTCGGTAACGTGTGCTTGTACGGTGCTACCAGCGGAAATGCCTACTTCCGTGGTATCTCCGCTGAACGTTTCGCCGTGCGCAACTCGGGTGCACATGCCGTTGTTGAAGGTGTTGGCGACCATGGTTGCGAGTACATGACCGGTGGTCGCGTTGTCATTCTCGGCAGTACGGGTCGCAACTTTGCTGCTGGTATGTCTGGTGGCATCGCCTACGTTCTCGACATGAACCGCGACTTTGTCCACAAGTGCAACACCGAGATGGTTGAACTTGGCCAGGTTAAGGACCCGCACGAGATTGCAGAGCTCCGCAACCTGATCGAGAATCACCGTCACTACACTGGCTCAACGATTGCGGATCACGTCATCAAGGAGTTCCACCACCTTCTACCACGCTTCGTTCGTGTCATGCCGCTGGATTACAAGCGTGTTCTGGAGGAGGAGGCAGCCAAGGCGGCTGCTGAGAAGAAGCGCTCCAGCCACGTTGACCTGCTGGGCACGCTTTCTCGCCACGGCAGCCAGGTCAGCCTGGGTGGTGAGGAGGAGTCCAAGAAGGATCACCCGGTAGCTGAGCCAAAGGAGGTGGACATTGAAGACGCTATGGTCGACGAGGAAGCCGCTAAGGCACGTCTTGCGAAACTCGACAAAACCCGTGGCTTCATGAAGTACAAGCGCCTCGGCGAACACTACCGCAACCCAACCAAGCGTGTCAAGGACTTCAAGGAGCTCTCCAACCGTCTCTCTGACGCTGAGCTCAAGTATCAGACCGCACGCTGCATGGACTGCGGTGTTCCTTTCTGCCAGTCTGACACTGGTTGCCCGATCTCGAACGTCATTCCCAAGTGGAACGACCTGGTCTTCAAGGGTCAGTGGGAGGATGCATACCACCGCCTCATGATGACCAACAACTTCCCAGGTAAGTTTGAGAGAACAGGCACGTATACCGTGAGGCTCCTGCTGATGTAGCTACCTTATACAGAGTTCACTGGACGAGTGTGCCCAGCGCCATGCGAGGGTGCATGCGTTCTTGGCATCACCGAATCGCCGGTGGGCATCAAGAGCGTCGAGCGAGCAAGTGAGTCCATCTTCAGCCGCTGCGATGATTTCTTTTGTTGATCGATTTTAATGCATTCTGTCATCCTCAGTCATCGACAAAGCCTGGGAACTTGGTTACGTCAAGCCGCAGCCGCCGGCACACCGCACTGGCAAAACTGTTGCCATTATTGGCTCTGGCCCTGCAGGGCTGGCTTGCGCTGACCAACTGAACAAGGCTGGTCACTCTGTCACGGTCTACGAACGTGCTGACCGTCCAGGAGGACTGCTCGAGTACGGCATCCCCAACATGAAGTTGGACAAGGACGTTGTTGCTCGGCGCATTAAGCTGATGGAAGAGGAGGGTATCCGCATCGAGTGCGGTGTCGAGGTTGGCCGCGACATTGACGCTGCTGACCTTAGGGAGCAGTACGACGCAGTCACCTTCGCCACTGGTGCCACCTGGCCGCGCGACCTGAAGATCGAGGGTCGCGAGGCTGACGGCGTCCACTTTGCGATGGACTTCCTGGGCGCAAACACAAAGAGCCTGCTCGACTCCGGCCTTCAGGACGACAACTACATCAGCGCACACGGCAAGCACGTCATCGTCATCGGTGGCGGTGACACGGGTAATGACTGTATCGGTACTTCGGTGCGTCACGGGGCCGCCTCCGTTACTAACTTTGAGCTGCTGCCGCAACCGCCCGAGGGACGTACACGCGACAACCCATGGCCACAGTGGCCGCGCATCTTCCGCACTGACTACGGTCACACAGAGGTTGCCGAGCACTTCGGCAGCGACCCGCGCACTTACCAGATCTCGACGACCAAGTTCGAGAAGGACGAGACCGGTAAACTTGTGGCCCTCCACACCGTGCAGGTTGCTTGGGAGAAGGACGCCTCAGGCAAGTGGCAGATGAACAAGGTACCTGGCTCGGAGAAGAGGTGGCCATGCGACTTGTGCTTGCTCGCGCTTGGGTTCCTTGGCCCCGAGAATGAGGCGCTTAAGAGCTTGGGCATCGAGCAAGACGCCCGCTCCAACATCAAGGCGGGAGACAAGGACAGCAAGGCTCCATACAAGACAAACCAGGCTGGCGCTTGGGCTTGCGGAGATGCCCGTCGAGGACAGTCGTTGATCGTCTGGGCCATTGCGGAGGGTCGGGCATGCGCTGCTTCCATCGACATTGAGTTGACTGGCGGCTCGCGATTGGCTTGGGCAGGGGGTATTCCCCATAGGCATTACGCGCCTGGCAAGGTCCATAGCAGCCTCGCCGTTGCCGCTTGATCGAGCTAGACTCGCGGCAAAGCATCTTACCAGCACTCGCACAAAAAAGCAAAGCAGAGCACAAAAGCAAAAGCGCATGCATGCATCATACCACGACCCAAACTTTAGATGTCAACACGATTGCACAAGCAACGACAACTTCATAAAAAGCTTCAGAAAGACCCAGCCGCTGAGGAAGAGCAGGAAGAGAAAAATTATGATCACAATTTCTTCCACTGTTCCCTCTTACTTCCCGCCACACACAGCTCATGATCGGAAGGACCCATGAAGTCCATCCTCAATGTGCTAGCGCCTGGTGGGGAAACGTGTGAATACAAGTTCAACACAATGTAAATATCTTATAGAAGAAATCGCCAATCATCAATCCTCATCATCCTATCCGATGTGTTGGAACCATGTACTGCTTGCTGGGTCTACCGTCTACTGTACCATGTCAAGCGTTGTCCACGTTGAGTATGTCCAGCGCAGAGTACATAACTTCCTGCCCAGCATGGTGAGCGGATAACAGCCTGATCGGAGCTCAATAGCCCTATTCTCTCTATCTTCGCAACGAGCGTCTGAGCGCCATGCGCGGTACGAGTTTGTCCATTGCAACACTGCTCTTGGCCAGCGCAGAGCATGGGAATGTTGAAATTCGGAACAGAACTGCAGCCTTCCCGTGCTCTCGTCCGCCCAAGGATGGATCGCTGCAGGTTCACCGACGGGGATGGACCCCAGGTACGAAGGCTTTCAATGTGGGCCACATCCGCTTCGATGTTCTACAAGGCGTTTGCCGTGGCAACAGATGCACTTCGGCAGCGTGCTCTCTGCAACTGCATCCCGATGTGGTTGCCACCCTTGATTGGCACTCTCGCCATCTTCAGTTCTTCGTCGTCCATCCAGATTAGATCAACATGGAATCTTGAAAGAGGCGATAATACTGGCTTGCGGACAGCATCGTCTAATGCGATTCAAGCGAGTAAGAGAATGACGACCCAGGAAGCTTACATAAGTATCTTTGGCGCAATGCTTCGCACGTGCACGGCGCACGCGCCACCCAAAGCGAAGGTGTCGAAACTTGATACAACTGGTACAGCACACCAGCACGACCATGCACCTCTTTGGGTCTGGGTCTCAGTCGGAGAAGAATGTGCAAGCGAGCATAGTGATGGAGAGACAGAGAGAGACAGGGCGCTGCCAGTTCGCAGATTTGAGAGGATTAGGGTCGCCTCTCCCGCAGTCGAGTCGTGCGGCTCCTCCCCGTGTTGATCCAATAATAGAGGGTGGAGCAGTCGAGGTCGTGCGATCACACCCTGCATCATAGCCTACGAACGTGGGCTACTGTTGTTCAAGCATTATCACAGACCCCATGATTCTCCAAATTGCTCCTATTATAATCCACATCCACAGGTATACATCATCCGCCTTACTGGGTTGAGGCTTGAGCGATGGGCTCGAGATGCTCGTGAACTTGCTTACGTTTCGGCGTTCGCTGCATTGTTGATGAAGGTCCGCAAATAGAGACAGACTGGACTTTCTCCGTGAACTCGGTACTATCACCATCACGGGTTGCAACTTCATCGACCTCGGGGGGAAGAGCTGATTCCTACAGTTGGAACCTGAGCATCAGTTCTGGCACAGCCTTTCAACCAGAATCCCAAGTGACTGCCAACTATACCTACCTGTTCTGTACAAGTGAAAAGGTAGCACATGTCTCTACGGACCATTCTCTCTTCTACAGCCGCACAGGCTGCGGTTGGAGCTGCTGCTCCCTCTTCCGCGCTGTTATTCTCATCAGCCTCAATCACATTGCCGTTATCCACGACAGAAGCTGCGAATGCAGAGAGCAGTAAAGGCCACGGTGGCCACGAAACGTCGACCCAAACGACATCGTCACTAGCCTCCGGGTCGTCCCTCCCGTCTCGGGGCCCCAACATGCAAGGAAAATCGGCATCAGTGCCACCACACTGTGTCTCCGGGAAGCCCGCGTGCACAAGCTTTATTGCGAGCGCAACCCGAGGTGGGAGCAAAGGCACACGCGACACTCGACGCCGTGCGACGCACTCCCAGATTGAAAGACGTAGGCGTGAAAAGATCAACGACCGGCTCATCACGCTACGTAACCTCGTCCCGGCTTGTGCTGCGAAGATGGACGAGAAGAACCGTGGGCGTTCCGGGTACAGTGCTGCAACCGGCGGCGATGAGGATGACGAAGATGAGGATGGACCAGACTGGGTGCCTGGAGGACCGGATGGTGCGGCGAAGCGCAAAAGGAAGAGGCGAAATGCATGGGCTGTCAAGGTACCAATAAAGGATCCGGCTCAGGAAGAAGAGCTCGGATTGCATAAACTTGATGTGCTTACACACACGATCGGCGAGTTCGATGCAGGCATTCGAGTTCTTATGACTGTCTGGGAAGAAGTAAACTGATGATTCACACCTTGGCCACAGATTACATTTTGGAACTGCACACTCGCATCGAAGAGCTCGAGACCGGGCGCCAGCAGGCAGTCATCAAGACGGTAGACAAGGAGCGCGAGGAGGACGAGGAGCCGCTGCGAGGCGCACAGATCCCCGTTCATGAACAACAACAGCATCCGAAATCGCAGTCTATGCCAACACCGCGATCGAGACAACAGCAGGCTTTGTCGCCGAACACAGCGATGTCCATGGAGCCCGGTCAAATGAGGCAGGTCCGAGAGGTAGGACGTAGCAAAGCACCTAGCAGCGATGAAGAGACGGTCTCGGACGGGTTGACTTTCTCCGACATGGAGCTGGACGCACTCCCCCCTCTGACGCCTGGGCCTCCGCCAACAACAGAACAGGTCTCGGGCCCAGGGGTAAGCTCAGCGGGAGAAGGAGCAGACCCTGCGAGCGCACGCACCCGCACTTTTGTGCACCCGCCAAGGCATACCATCCGTGTCCCCCGCCGCGGCACGGCCCCCGCGAGGGCCACTCCCTCATCGACCGCTTCTTCCAGCGAGGAACGCTCGCCGCCCACGTCTGGCACACTCAGCGCCGTCAGCAGCGCAAGCCTTAGCACGACAACCGGAAGCACGATTATGGCAGGCGGAAGAGGGTACCACCAGCAGAATCCATCCCCGATGATCTTGCCCCTCCCCGCCTCCGCGGGATTGCCCTCACGCAGCCTGACGAGCCCGATGATGACCCTGTGGGCCGGCTTGCCCATCCTTCAGTCGAGTAACGACGATCCAGGCAACCTGCGAAAGAACTCGGCTAGCTTTGTACCTTTCGCGGGCGTACATCCTCTCCATTTGGCTGCACCTGGTGCATCCCCCGCCATGCGTCCTTGCCTCGGTCACGGTGGCCACGGGAACGGAACCTGTGTTAATTGGCCCGAGCTGCCTCCTCCTATGGTCGCGCTGAGCAGCAGCGATCCGTTTACCCGCCGTTCTAGCTGGCAGCAGCTGAGGGAATCGGCGGCCGTCAGCGACTCGCGCACCACCTTGCCTGGCTCCCCGCACCCTCCACCATCTGCCGAACCCGCTTCCGGGTACTCCCAGGGGCGGGCGCACCGTGGCCGCACCGAAGAAAGAGAAGATTTGAATGGTGATGGTAGCGGCTGTGCACGTTCGTCAGGCGCAGATACCTCCGCTGCACATCTCCTGCTCAACATCGGCGCGTCGCCTGAAGCGCTACCCCCGCAGACGGCCTGTTCAGCCTCCCGTTCAGCCGGCATGCTCTTCAGCCAGGAGCAGTCCCATGCCGGTCAGCAACGGCAGCAGCCAGGAAGGGCGCCATCGGCATCGCGGCGACAGTCCATCATGTCTTTCAACACGACCGCCCTAGGCTACGTGACGCCGCAGGTCTTTCTCATGGGTGGTAGCCGACAAGCCCCATATGGGCAGGGTTTCGGACACGCGTACGCTTACAGTCCCGGCTCGTCGCTTACCCGCTACAACCACTATGCTGTTTCCAATCCTGGCTCTGGCGTTGGCGCTGGCGCTGGTGAGAATCAATTCGCTCGAGTGCATGCATATCCGGCCAGTGCGCCGGGAGGAGCCAGGGCGCAGAGGAGCGGCTTTGCGTACGGTCTCGCATCGCCGCCTTTGTTTGCGCTTAGCGACTCCAAGGCGCTGCCCGAGGAGGAGGATCTTTCGTTGGCCAAGGAGATGGGACAAGACAGGAACAAATGGTGAGATTACCGGAGGACCGCGATGGCTTGGCCTTAACCCCCACACCGAGCCATGCAGGTGGCTGGGAATGACGCAGACGCTATGTACGAGGGTTGATCAATGGCTGATGACCAGCCCACCGAGACTCGAGACAATGGCATCGGGCGCTGGCTTGGTGCGTGGCACGCCGGCCCTGACACAGTGCTAGGACTCGCCCAAGCCTTATGTGCGTGTATTTATAGACTCCCGCCGCTTCGTGATGAGAACAATAGATACTCATCGCTTACCGAGACCAAAGTTGTGTGGAAGAGACAGAGTAGGCAAAAAGGGGGGGTGAGATGTGATAATGATGTCATACCGAGGCGAGCGCCGCCTGATTCGCTGTGCAGTGAGCTCCAATTTTATCAGGCTTATCCACATTCTCGTGTCCACTTTTGCTTGCAGCTGCGTCGATGTTGAGCTTTGGATGCCGCACTTTGCCACCCTCCACGCCAGCCATCCGATCAAGCGTTCAGACTGACCATGCTCGCAGCAGGCCTCAGGCTGTGGCCGCCGCCCGCGCGCTCTGTAAGGCCGTTGATAGCGTGGTCGTCCACCGTTGCCCCTACCCGAGGACCTACAGCGGATGCCCAAGGACCTCGCTCGGCATCATCATGCAATCATCGAAATGAGGCTCAAGGGTCGCTGCGAGGCCTGCGCAAGCCTGCCTGTTCGGGGAATCAGAGGCTGACGGGTTTAGCTTTTACCAAAAGGCACTTTGCTTCATCTTCCATCCGTGACTTGGCTCAGGGCGCCGGAGTAACGCCCTTCGATCCTCTTCACTGCCCAATCTCTGTCAATGCGGATGGAATTGCCAATGAGCTGACGATGGCTTCTGGCTACCTGTAGTGAGCCGCCTACCTACCTGAATGCAAGGACGCACACTGATCTATGTCCTTCCGGCGGTTGACAGCTTCGACTCTTGCTTTCCAATCAAGCTGGGATGGTGGGATTTACGCAGCTACCTTGCCTCGGCAGAGCAGGGACTTCTGCTCGAGCGCATCAAGAACAGCATACCGCCTGAGGAAGAAGTTGGGCACGGCTTCAAGGTCCTCGGCGTTGAGGAGAGGTGAGCCGGTAGATCACCACTCGCTGTCCCGTAATGCTTGGTCTCATTTTAGCGTCTGTCGACGGCAGGATAAAGGATGGCGGCGCTTTCGTATCCTTTGCGTACAAGAAACACATCACAGAAGATCGAGATGTAGCGCTGCTTGAGATCGAGCGTTCCCTCAAGCGTAATCTTAAGCGATTTTACGACCCGAACACCATCATTCTCTTTAGTAAACCCTCGCTGCATGTCGTGCAAGGGCGCCCATGGAGAGACGACCTGAACCGTTTCCCTGCGTCGCGCATCAAGGTGCAGCTGCAGGGTGGCGACATCAGCGAAGAAAGGATATGGGAGATTCTACGTCCGTACGGAAGAATCAGCAACATCGAAAAGAAGCCGAACGAGGCCACGGTGACATTCAGTCGCATTCGAGGAGCTACATCCGCGCGCAATTGTGCACATGGAATGACGCTTCCTGACGGTCCGACGCTCGTTATCAACTACGAGAGGATCCTCCGCAGCAAGATGATGTGGGACTGGTTCTCCAACCACCCGAGGATCGTCTTTCCAGTCATCTTGACCCTGCTCGGCACGATTACTTACGTCGTCTTCGATCCGATCCGCGCATGGTTCGTGGAGCAAAAACTGGAGAACACTTTCAATCTGGAGCAGTACAAGCTTTACGGCTGGCTAAAGAAGACAACGGGGCAGCTTCTAGGCGAGGACTTCAAGGATATAGCTAAAGAGGACATATGGTGGGAGCGGCAGCAGGCTGCCAAAAATATCTCTGGCTTACTCAAAGAGACGCCTTCTACATTCATCACGGTCTCCGGTCCGCGAGGCTCCGGCAAAGGGCAGCTGATTGAGAGGACTCTCCAGGGCGATGTTCTGCACTTGGACATCGACTGCGACACGATCGCCAAAGCTGGTAAAGCAGACGCTGCTCTAGTCAACGCGCTGGCTGGCGAGACTGGCTACTGGCCTGTTTTTTCCTGGCTCAACTCTCTGAACAACCTGATCGACCTCGCAGCCGTTGGTCTGATCGGCTCAAAGGCCGGTTTCGCCGCGCCCATCGATGCGCAGCTCCGCCAGGTCCTCGGCGTTGTGACATCTGCGCTTGTCTCCGTGAATGCAAGGGAAGCGAAGAAGGCTGAAAAGCGTGCCAAGAAAGCGGGAAAACGTGGACAGGAGGAGAATGAAAAGGCATTCTCAAAGCCCTCGGCGGCCGCTGCCGCTGCAATTGCTGCTACGCAGGCTTCTAAGCAAGACGAGAAAGGGGCGGCTGAGCTTAGCACAGGTGAGAACGGCAGTGACAAGAAAGGTAGCGGCCTTACGGACACCCTCGGGCAGGGCGTGAGTAAGCTCAAGAGCGCTATTCTGGGTGAGGGCGAAGAGGCAAAGGCCACCAAGGAGGCTGAAGCCCAAGCGGCGCTCGAAGGAGAGAAGCAGGCTCGTGTCTCGCGAGACGAGTGGGAGATGGAGAAGGGACTCGCGTCAGAAGTCAGCCCAAGCGCAGCTCGGCGCATCCCAGTTGTAGTCATCAAGTCCTTCCATCATAAGGGTGTCAAGAACCCGGTATTATGGCAAACCCTGGCAGAGTGGTCCGCTGAGTTGGTCACCAATGGCATTGCCCACGTCGTTTTTGTCTCCGACAATCCGGTCGCAATGGGCAAGGAGCTGACCAAAGCCCTTCCCAATCGGCCATTCGAAGGCGTGCTACTCGCCGATGCGGATGAGCTGCGTGCGAGAAAGATTGTGTCTAGCAAACTGAGAGAGCTCATCGGCACTGCTCCGGAGGAGGAAGCGAGTCGCGGCATTACGGAGGAGCTCAAGCGGAAGCAGGAGCAGCTGGGCGCTGAAGATGATCTCAAATACGGAGGCCTGAACCGCGAAACTGCCGAGTGCGTGGACAAGCTCGGTGGACGGCTTACTGATCTCGAGACGGTGCGTACTTCTTGAACAAAGCTGTTTTTACGGCAGTCGATCTGAAGCTTTCTTTATCTCTCACGCACAGCTCATCCAAAAAGTCAGCTTGGGGCAGAATGTCAAGTCCGCCGTGGAAGACATCATCACCCGCACGGTCATCGAGCTGCGCAAGAATGCATTTGGTGACGACGTGGAGGACAGCAAAACGCTACCGTGGTCGCGTGGCCAAGCATGGACGATCGTCTCTTTGCTGGCAAGTAACGAAGAGCTGAACTACTACGGCACCTTGCACGATGCCTTCAAGGGGGACGAGGGTGCACTGAAAGCAATGGAGCAGGAGGAGATCATCTCTGTCCGCCACACCGATGGGCGTCCGTCCACGATTCGCGCGGGCAGGCCGGTGTTCCAGGAGGCGATCAAGCGACTGGTGGATGACCGCGTGTTTGCGAACACGCAGCGCTTCTTGTCTAACGCTAGCGCTATCGCAAGCAACGAGGCGATCGTTCGTGAGGTGGAGCGCGAATTGCGCGACCTCGCTGAAGTGTATTCGGTGCGCACCGCTGACGTGGGAAAGGCTCGCGCTGTGTACCTGTTGGAGAAGATGGCAGATGCACACGCCAAGATCCAGCATTTCGACAAGGAGAATGCAGCGCTCAAGAAACGTCTCAACAGCCTGCAGGAAAGGTAAAAATGCAACGTGCCGTAGTGTACTCTTAATATCCATACCACTCATTGTACACATGCAGTCTTAGCTCTAAATTTCGGGATCGTAGGCAATAATCCTGCACTAGGCAAATCGTATGTTTCAGATCAGGGCAAGGTAACATGGAATTCCCGAAACCAACAATGCGTGCTCGCCACAATTTCTGCGCTGGTCACTACCTTGTTCTTTGAGATCCTGCACAGACGGGAAGGAAAAGCCATGCCACGTCAGACGCTCTACCTTGCCGTGACGTGAGGACGCTTTGCATGGAAGACTTGCGAAGGTCCTGTTCATCGACGAGATATTTATTGAGCTTCTCGAGGTTCTTGAACAGCGAGTAAACACCCCAATTGAGGTCGCCACTTCTGTCCATGGAGAGGGGCAGGCGGTAGTGGCACTCCTTACACACCTTCTGGACGACGGGCAACGCCTTGAGCTTGGCGCATTCTGCCTTGCACCGCTCTCCCACAGCGGCGTCGGAGAGGATGGCGTCCTTGATTTATACCTGTGGAAGTCGTTAACAAGAGAGGAAAAATATAAATTCCATTTGAGCAGCAGCGCAGCGCAAGAGACAGACTTGATCGCCCTTTGCGATACGAAGGCGGGGTTCTCACCAGGACGATGTGAGCGAACGACATCTTGCTCGATCGGGTATACGAGAAAACCAATTGACCTTCAATATGTCCGGGGCATGCGGCGACCATACGATGGAGGTCGAGCCGACGTGGCGAAGAGCGGGGGATATGGTCTACAACGTTGTAAGGCAAACAACTGTGTGTTGCCTTTCTTTATACGGTCACCTGTGCACGCTCAAACGAGTCCAGGTGCCAGGTCCGAGGTACGTCATGCGAATTCCTGTGTATGCAAATGTACAGAGCAAACGACGCTCGAGCCAAGCCGCACTCTGACTAGGTGGCGGTACCAATAGTCTGTTGCGCCGAACTCCCTCCCAATCACGTGATCTTCAATATCACACTTGGTATCAATGGCCTGCCTGACATCCACGAGGTACTTCACAGCACGCCTAGCTCCTTGCACTTGCGAATGCATGAACGAAATGGGAGCCCTGCTGCTCCGTTCAGAGCAGCTCATCAGGTGGCGCATCCATCGAAAGGCTGCTACCGCGTGCGCCGCGCCCTGGAAACCCAAGGTGACCTTGTTGGGAGGGCACTTGCTGCCTCGCCCTCGTCGGCGATGCTGACCCGGCTCAGCTACGAATAATCCCTTCCCGAGGGATGAGCGGCGTGCTGCGTACAGCTGACCAAAACGCAACGTGACCCCCACCGGCTGCTCAAGCCTCGAAAACCCTGCTCCCAGACGGTTGCCAGTACGAGAAACGCAAGCCAGCAACCGCGGAAGTGCGAACGCGCCGCCAGGCCGCGCCACGAGCCCCCTTGCACGGAAGCGCGAGACATGACGGGGCAGCATACGGACACGTTTGAGCTGCCGCAGCTCGATTGGACGTGAGGCTAGAGCTGCATCAGATACTTTTCCTCGAGTCGTACCTGTTGACCCAGTTTAGGTGGCTTCTGCACCACGCGCAGGTATGAGATGCGAAGAGAGTGTCAAGAAGTCGTCTCAGGCATATGGGTCGGACCTGCCGAATCAGGCAAGAACCTCGAGAACCTGCTGCGTCTCGACATATCCTCCATCGTTGTCTTGCGTTCTCCATGCGAGGCATTGTTCCTCAAGCCGCGCTTTCCAGATCAGTTCCAGTACCTTGTCCTCGACGTGCACGACCGACAAGACCAGAATCTGATCAGCATCTACCCGTCGTTCCGGGACTTTGTCGATGCGTCTCGCGTACAGGGCCAACGCGTGCTGATCCATGATGATGGCGGTATGAGCCGTGCGCCGGCAATGGCGGCCATGTCAGTTGGGAAGGCTCGGCGCGGAAATTGCAGTGCAGGCAAGCTGTCAATGCTAATCCCACTGGCTGTTCGCTTGCAGGTACGTTATCGACAAGCGCGCGCTCAAGTTTCAAGACGCGATATCTATGATACAGTATCGCCGCTATTGCATCCACATAAACCAGGTGATTAAATGATCTGCTTACGCCTCTGATGTTCCAGCTGCGGAGGTATTCAGCCGCGTCCCTTCTCTCCACCTCCCACACTCGCTCACTCGCTCTTGCAGGGGTTCGTGCGGCAACTAAAAGAATTCGAAGCGGTCTGCCTTGCGCGTGATCAGTACAAGAAACATCAACAGACAGGAGAATCCGCGAAGGAGATGAATACCATCAAAGCTGCGCGGAGGCGAAGAGAAGAGAATGGCGACAGCAGCTTTGAGGCGTCAGTAGTGCTGCGCTTGTGGGCTCGATTCGGGAGCCCTACGGGGAGGCTGACCTGCTTTTCGTCTCTTTCCAATTGGTTAGAAGCGACAACTGGCGGCAACAGAAGAGAGGGAGGGAGGAAATGGAGGATGAGGAACGGGATGCAATGGAGACTTGAGACAGTGACCATGCATTTTCTCCTACTCGAGAGCATACCTTCATCAGTACTGTCACCGTTTCTGTAGCCCTAACAAGCATCACATTTAGCATGTGATTATTCTCGCGGCATATCCAAAACATCCCGCTTCAATATAAGAACCCTTCAGCCGGGAAAGAAAAGTTCTGTAACCACATACCAAATTTGCATTATAACATTACGCACGAGGGAAACTGCAAAGGGGTGGGTGAATGAGATGACAAGCTGCTGCAGAACAATCATTCTTGAAAGCAACAAAGGAAGCGAAATGGCCAAATTCCGCGCTGCTGCTGCTACAATCATGAGGGCGCGTTCGTGCCAGCCTTCGCGTGGTGTTCGCCCGGGTCGGTCGTAACGAATGGATCTCGGACCGCGTCGACGATCTCTTTTGGCGCAACATCGCGCTTGCGCAGGCCGTCGAAGGCGATGCTTGCCTGTGCGCCTGCACTGACAGCACTTGACTGGCACTCCCCTGCACCCGTGCCAGCAACTTTATCGTCGCTCTTCTGGTACGCTTGGCTTTTGCGTGCGCGCTGCGCCTTGAGCTCCTTGAACTTTTCCGGGTTCATCTGGCTGCCGCACCACTTGTCCCAGACGATGAAATACGGTTGGCTGAAGTTGTACCGCAGCCCTTGCATCTCATGGTGCACGTTGTGGTACGCTGGGAGCGATAAAAAGTGGGGAGGAGCGTCAGCTCCAAGACGAGCAGGAGAAGTGCGAGCGGTCTACCTTTGGCCCGTGCTACTCACCTGCGGTGTTGGGGAACACCAAATGTAGCGGATCGATCCACCATGGGAACGCGTATCCGCCGTGGTCGTCGACAGTCTTCAGCGTCGAGAAGGCAAAGAGGAGGATGCCCTGTCGAACAGTCATAAACGAGAGTGTGTGCGAGACGACGGCTCCGAGAGAGTCAAGCAAAAGGCCTGAAGATGTGGGAAATGCTTAGTGTCTGTTTCGGCTAAAGGCACAGGACGTACGGACACGTAACACGGTGCCAGCTGTGAGGTTGCGGCATACACGCACCTTCCAAAGGGTGATTATACAGCGCCCCAAAAGCATAAGGAACGTAAAGTCTGTGGTGGTGGCTGTGGAAGTTGCGGTAGAGGAATCTGGACTGGTGGAACGCCCTGTGCCAGAAGTACTGCCAAGTGTCCATCACGATGCTTGATGGCAAATGGTATGGGAACAGTCAGCACGTGCGTCACAACGTACGCCCCGCCCAATGAGAATGGAACTCACAGGGCCAATGCGAACTGCGCGATCGGGACGCCCCACCAATAGATCCACTCGCCGACGCCTGTCCCGAACGCAGTGAGCATCTGCATACCCTGCTTCATGCCAAAGATGTTGACAACGACCCTCGCGAGGCTGACGCCAATGCTGCGTATATGCGCCTTGTGGTCCGCGAAGACCTGCTTGTGCACGACCTCGTCGTCCTCGAGGACAAAGATTCCTAGAGCAGTTTGGATGAGCTGTTGCACAAGGACCATGGCGACGACACGCGTCTTGGAGACCTTGTTGCGCTTCGTCACTTCCTCCGGCTCATGGATACGGTACTTTTCAAAGAACGGGTGCTGCCACTCGTCGAGAAAGTGGTACACCGTGCTCAGGCCCCAGTAGCATATGATCGGCAGGATGAGCGACAGGTACTTGTCCGAGATACCGTGCACGAGCGATGGCCGCTCAGCAAAGTACCATGGGTAGCTCGGCTGCTTCGGTGCGAGGTCGAGCGTCGCGAGCGGGTCGCTCGATGGCATGTGCGGCAGCAGGGAGCCGAAGCGCGAGGTCAAATTGTCCGCAGACATGGTTCAAATTGCGCGGTAGTAGTAGTAGTTTGCGATGCTCAGATGTAGGCAGAGCAGGGGTGGCGGCGTGAGCCCGCCGTCGATGGGTGTGCCAAGCAAAGCACGGAGATCTGATGCCGTGGGCCAGGCGCAGTGGTCTGCGGTCTTGGGAGATCGAGCCTGTATGCTATCTACCTTACAGGACGCCGCAGGTGCGGGTGGAGAGCTGCACCCTGTTTCCTGCTGATTCGGTGCTCAACTGATCAAGACTGTGGACGAGGTAAGATGTGGTCGGGAGTGAATACGGACACATTGATGGAAGCGCACCAAGACACGGCACAGGCTGTCTCTGCAAACATGAAAGCGATCTCGTCGCCTTTGCTCGCCGTGACACGGCGAGCATTCGATCTACTTTCTTTTTCCTTTCTTTTTCCTTTCTTTTTCCTTTCTTTTTCCTTTCTTTTTCCTTTCTTTTTCCTTTCTTTTCCGTTCTTTGTTTCATTATAGAATCTCTCGTTTGGCGCTTCGCTATTGACGGCGCAATCCTCATGGCTCAATGGAGACTCATATAGTAAGTACCCTACCACCCGAGAGAACATCTTCTGGCATTGACGCTTCCATGCTGGCCAAGTTGCGATGCGCACTGAGCCACCCAATTCCGGTCCTCTGCGCTTGCCTCCGTGTTGCGATGCCGTTGGAGACTACAGTGATTGGGCTCGGCGAGCAAACAAACCGTGTCCTTTGAGGTGACCGCGCAGCGATGCACACTGATCAATGTGCAAATGCTTCACTCGGATGAGGAAGCAATCCATATGCACGAGCGCGGTGTGTGCTACGAGAGTGGCGACGACTGATTGATGCGATTCCGGTACATTTGATTTGCGATAGATAGGAAGCAGCCAATGGCACCATACTATAGGATATATGAACACACAATGCATAGTAGCACTAGATCAGGAAGAAAGAAGGAAATCTAGCAAGCAAACAAAACATAACCTATTGTCTCAGCGGGACTTTTGCAAACCGGTCTGAGTCGTCTTTCCGAAAACCATTTGCCACAGAAGATCATCGTTGAAGGACTGCGAGGGGTCCAATGCTATCACTGGAACCTTAGCTGACCGTCCGTCGCCCATGCTGGCGATAGACCGCGCAGGTGTCGACGCAAGCGCGCCAAATGCAGCAGGTGAGCCGTTGCTGCTGCCATCGCGACTGCCACTGCCGCTTGCGAGCGCATGCAATGCGTCCGTACTGGTTGAGCCCGTGCATGATGGTGCGGGCGGCATGGCGGAAGACGCGCTAGGGAAACGCAGGACCTGCAGGACGTTCGCCGCTGTCGTCAGCGCAGGCGGCGGCCCCTCGTACGGCCAGACGAGCGAAGGGTAAAGCGCCGTATCAACCGGCGTCGCCGGCGTCTCGGACGACAGACATGTCGATCGCGAGATGCTACCAGGTGATGATTCTTTGTGAAGACCGGTGTCGACCTTTGATTGATGCGAATCGGTCAGATGCGACGGCCGCAGGGAACAGGTCTCACCGCGTGCGCGCGCTTGCTCCTCCTCGTTCATGCTTGCAGCGATCTCGATTAGGCGTGTATATCCGACGACGCCCGACTCGCCGTTCTCTTGCACGTGTCGCTCCTCCTCGTCCAGGAGCCGCTCTAAGAGACGCGCCGCTTTTGCCGTGCGCGGCTGCGTCTTGTCCAGCCAGCCGGCAGCGCGCCGGATTTTGGAGCGAATCATTATGCGGTCCAGACCAGTGGCACGCCGAGCCTCGGCGCTGTGGTCGGCATACAGGTCCAGCAGCAGCACAATGCATGCGCTGTAGACGTGATCCTGATTGATCCTGTAGGAAAGTGCGCAATCATGAGAGGTTGTCAGACAAGAGTACTGGGCCAACACGTGCACACAGTCACCCTCACGCCAAAGAGTCGATGACTCGGCATCGCTTTCGGACCTTGTCGTGAATTTCGAGGATGACGTATGACAAGCTGATGCATGAGCTTTGCACGCGTTTCTTCCCGAGATCGCTCCTGTGCAATTTGAGGAGCAGGCTGAAGACGAGCTGATGGAGGAGCCAGCGTTGCACTTCTGCGGCGCCCTTCTGCGTCTCCGACGGGCCCTCAAAGGGGATATCAAGCTGGAAGAAGCTCGGCAGCTGCTTTAGGAAGAACTGGTACTGCTCGTCCAGGATGGCGCGATTTCCCTGGTTCCATACGCGGCTCGAGCCGCCTTTCTGCGCCTGCTCGTTGAGCATGTCGATAGAGCCTCTAACGATGTGCGACAGGTGGATCTTGGCGATGAACATGTACGTCTCGGTCCACTCGTCAAAGGGCCGCGACGGCGCGAACGGGACTTGGCGCATGTCGACATCCTTGAGATTCAATGGCGGCCGCGTGGTGATCTGCTCGGGGAGAAACGTGTACGTGCGCGTCGACTGCCCCAACGACCAGTCTCGCGAGACGACGTGCCAAAAGACGCGAACAGCCATCTCCTTGCGCCTGCACTGCTCAACGGTCGTGCCTGGCTCGTAGCCAAGCATGGACAGGCTGCCGAGCTTGTTGAGCTCCATGCGGATCACGCCACGCCGGAGGATGTCGTCGAGGAACGCAGAGTAGTCGGCATCGTCGAGACCTTGGCCACTCAGCAGGATCAGTGCTTGTAGGCCTTCAAGCGAGGCGATTGCCATGTTCTGCTCAAGCGCGAGACATTCGCGGCCCGCATTCCGGAAGAGCATCAGCTTGCCCTTGTTCCAGTGCTTCATTGTGGCAGGCAGTGTCCGCCGCACGGTGCCAACGCCAGGGTAGAACTGGATCGCGACGGAGATGGCCATGCAGAAGAGCGCAAGCTCGTTCATGTCGTTCCAGCCATCAGCGTACTGGTGCGTCCGGTGGATGAAGCGCTCGATATTCTCCACGACCTCGGGAACCCAGATGCATCGGTCGAACATACCCATCGCACGGATAGGCTGGAGGAAAAAGAAGCGGGGGAGCGTCAGTTAGCAGGTGTGAGGATATCCTTTGATGGCATTTCACTTTGGCCGCGACTGTACTCACCCAGCAATACCGGAGGAGATCTGCCCGGACCTGTGGCCCTAGTTCCGCAAGCAACGACCTGACACTCTCGACAAGGTGCACACGCGCTTCTTGATTTTCGTTCTTTTCCCAAAATGCATTCGGTCTCTCTCTGAGTTTGGCCCCTCCAAACTCGTTCATGTACGCGACGACGGTCCTGTGCGAGTTACCTTGCTGGCGTAACGGGGATCCTGTGTTGGGCGACGTGACCGCAGCGGTCATGGTCGTCGGTGCGAGCATGGAAATGCCACTGCTGTTCGGCATGTCTGCCGTACACGGGTGCACGCCCGTAATGGCGACCGGGGTGAAGCTGAGGGCTTCGCGGATAATGTACTCTTCGAGGAAGGCAGCGGTACCCTCGACCTTGTGCTGCCTGATCGACTGGGTGGCGTGCGTGGAGCCGGTGCGCGCAAGCAGGCGCTCGAGCTCGACGATGCGCTGCTTGAGCACTTCCAGCGCCTCAGGATCCTTGTCCCCCGATCCGCCAGCTTCGTCGGCGCCGCCATCGAAAGATGCGTCCCCCTTGCGCTTCTTGGGCTGCCGGGGAGCACGCTCCTCCTTGTGGCATTCGTGCTCCAGCTTCTTGACGATGCAGTTTGAGCACGGCACTTGCTGATCGCATTTGAGCTTCTTTGCACGACACCGAGCGCAGCTGGGCGTCAGCTTCGGCTTGCAAAAAGTCGCACGTGCAGCTGTAGCAGGACTTTTATTCCCATTGGCGGTCCCGTTCCCTGCTTGTGAGTCGCTCGCCTCGCCTTGCGCGCTTTCCCTGCTAGCCAATCGCTCCTTCCGCCCGACACTGTTGGCGGGGAAGGAATCATCTAGCTTCAGGTCATGCGAGTTCGACGAATCTCCCGCATGCTGCGGAGATCTATGCTGCTGCTGGTGGCGCTGATGTTGGTGTGGGTGCTGGTACTGCTGATGTCGATGTTGAGGCGGCGAGTGGTGTTGCCAGTGAGTCGGACATCCTTGCAACCAGGCCGATGCAGGCAAGGACGATGGGAGAGACGGGTTGGTGCTCCTCCACAAACTCCCAGGCATGGGTGGCAGCTGGTGATGCTGATGCTGCTGCTGCTGCTGCTGATGCTGATGCTGTTGCTGTTGCTGTTGCTGACGCTGGTGTTGGTGTGGGTGGTAAGGTGGAGGCGGGTTAGGCTCGTTTGCCTGGGGCCTGGGCAGCATGGCGTGGAGACGCTCCGAATGGTGGATCGAATAGCCAACCGGCTGTCCGAGAGGCGGCAAGGTGGGATGTTGGTGCTGTAGCGGCGGAAAATGCGGCATGCTGCCCATTCTGAAATCCCGTCGACCTTGGTATGACGAGCGGCCCTTGTTGCCGCCGTTGATGCTAAAAGGCCACGCTAGCCATCCGAAAGTGTGACACGCTTTCCTAAGGGCAGCGAAAGGGAAGCGGAAGCGCCGCCTCGACGAAGGCCAATGAGCGCAAAGCGACGCTCAGCCTACCTCCAAGGTTCGTGTATGTGAGGCGCAGGTGACCACTTGACGCAGCGACTGGTGTCTGACCCGGTCTGATGCCTGACTTGTGTGACTTGGCCGTAGACCGAGCGATTGACGCCTTGTGGAACCAGAAGCGCCGTGATCTACAACTTGCAGGCCGCAAGATCCGTCTGCTGCAGTATGCCACGCTTGGCTTACCGAGAAGCGTATGACCGAGCGCCTTTGCCGACCGGGTGGGGAGGGCGGTAGTTAGTATGTAGCTGCGGATTGACAGACATCATTACTCGGGGTAACCAAGTCACAGCGCCGGGTTCTCAGCGCAAAAGGCGAGCAAGTCGTTGTTGGCGAAGCGAAGAGCCTCCGCTAACCGGTGACCATGCCCCCGCAATGTACATCCAAGGAAGCTCGGCCCATCCTTTCCCAGTTTCGCATTCAGCTTGTCACATGTGAGCACACGCTTACATAAAGCGAGAGGAGATGGTCGAGTGTGAGCAACAACGTCGTCCCACGCGCCACGCCCATCTGAGCGATGGTTGGTGAGAGAGTATGGCCGCACTCAACCCGGTACCCTGTACCCCTTTTATTGGCGCAAGCGGCTTGCTACCTTACGGGTGCCTAATGACCCCCGGAGTCTCGGACTTTGTGGGTTGGGCGTAACCCTATTCCCCACAAAACGGGCACATTGATGACTCAACTTTTCGATATTCCATCGCCTTTGGAGGCGCTCTGCTAGAACGAAAGAGCACACTGGTGGTGACTGGACGGACCAAGAATCTAGAAAACGCAAGCCAAGAAAGGCCAGACTCTATTTCATATAAGATACAGCACCCACAGCAAAAGGTGAAAGAGGACATGCAACAAGAGGGAAAGGATATCAAAGCAAATTCTCCCGAGGTGCCATCTCCATGACAATAGTAAAGAGGCCCGGTCGAGTGCGAGTGTGCGGAAGCGGAAGCAGGTGGTATAGTGTACCGCCATTCGCAGTTATTTTGTTAAGAGTGGTGCCGAGCTGCGGCACGAGTTGCAGCACCGAGCAAGCTGGCGGGAAGGCTGCAACAGGCGAAAAGCAAAAAGGGGGGGTTGTGTGCGCATGATATAAGCCTGCGTCTATCGAGGCCGGGCCGTGAGCGACGAGAAGCGTGCCGAGGTGATACAGAAGATGCAAGCGGTGGTAGACAGAACGAGCCGGGACGAGCGGCGTGCCTTTATGCGAAGACGGCGAGCGCGGATGCGAGCGCGATGACGGCAACGAGCGCGACAGCCTGTGCGCCGCTGGCACTATGCGCACGGTGCGCGGCGCTGGCGGCCTTGAGCTGCGCGGAGCGTGTGCCCTCTGCGATGATACTGGCCGAGATGCTGGTCGCCTTGGCGAGGACACTCTGCATGGGCACCGCTTGGGTCGGCTTGAGGTCGATGCCGGGCGCGATGTGCGTGCCGTTCTCGACGACAAAGTAATTGGCCGCGACGACCTTGCCGAGTCGCGTGCGCGCGACGTAGTCTGCCAGGCTGAAGTTGCCCCCGCTCGCCAGCTGCGCGGCGGGGAGCGGCGTAAAGTCGGAACCCTGGGCAACGACGAGCTGCACGAACCGGTGCGGACCGCTGCCGTCAGTCACGTTCGGCGCGGTCCACGCCTGCACAGGTGAAGTCATGTTGCGAAGCGCACCGTTGACGACGGTCATGTTGTTGCAGAGGTACTGGAGCGTCACCGCGACCGTCCCATTGATCGCGGACACACCCGGGTAGGCCGCGTCAAAGGCAATGACGGTGAACAGTTGTGACCAGAAAAGCTCCTGCTGCGTGACGGCTTGGGTGTAATTGAGCGACATGGCGGGACTCTGTGCAAGCAGCGCTGAGGAGGAGGACGCGGCGTCCGACGAGAGCGGGACCGTGCTGCCAAGCTCGGCGGTGAGGTTGCCAAACGCGACCTGCAGAGCGCCGGAGAGCGAGAGAAGCTCCTCGGGGACGATGGCCGGCGTTATGTCTGCGCCTTGGAATTCGAGCAGCGTCGACGCCATGGTCTGGTATGTGGCCGGGTCGGAGGCGTTTGCCGCCGCCAGCGCCGAGCCACCCAAGGCGAGCAGGGAAAGGCCGCCTGCGACAAGAAGTGAGCGTGTCGCGCGGACCATCTTGGGAGATTGTGGAAGGAGCAGCGTTGCGCTGGGCGAGGTATCGAAGGGAAAATTCACAGACGTAGGGGTATGTGTCCGTCGATGGAAGGGTATGCGGGTGTATGCTGAAGTTGCTGCCCGACCGAGCCAGATAAACACCTTTATATGACGCAGCGCATGTCCAACCGAGCAGTCACGAGCGAGAAAAGCTTTGCGGTGGTTGTTGCAGGGCGCAGGTACATCTCTGAATCCTGGACCCAAAAGAAAAGAGGTCTGCTCTCCTCGTCATCAAACCCACGCGGTATGCCAGCGTCCGAGGCTCGATGAGTATTTCTTCCTGTACATATCCACATTCATTCACCTTCGTTTCACTGTTTTAGGTGGAGTGAATCTCCTTGCATTTCTTTGTGGCAGATTACTCTGTAGATCCGAGTGTGATGATCCCCCACCGCCGAATCCAAGGCGAGAGCGAGCAGAGACCTGCTACTGGGCAGACACGGTGCGGCTACCGCGGCTGTCTTTTTCTTCTTCGATCGATCGATCAGCCAGTCAGTCAGTCAAGGTTGTGGGGTGTTTGCGACTTGCTTGCTCTCTCCCGCAGAGCGAGCAGATGTCGCGTCGCAGTCCGACACGAATCTTTCTTTTACCACGTGACAGTCGAGCCCAGGCGCTGTGTGAGAGAGACAGGAGCTGAGCTGCTGGTGGTGATCGTTGATCTTGAACTCAGAGACAGGCACAAAGAGGAGGGGTGAGTTGGGGCGTTGGTTTTTGGCGTGGTCGGTCACTCAACCCCCCTCATGGCAAAAAGCGACAGTCCCCCCGAAAATAGAGACTGCACCCACAGCACGGCCAAGTTGAAGTTGAGGCAGGATCTATGCGTATGTGGACGCAGCGAGCGAAGGGTTGACCCCATTCCGCCTTTCACCCCCTCGGCGAAGTGCAGATGGGTTCTATCGCACAACCACCCAGGTCGTATGAGACGGACTGCCCACACCCCAACGATCCTGTGGGAGCCATTGTTGCGGCCTCAGGTTGGGACTGCCACGGTCTCAACCTTTTTGACTTTAGGACCAGGGTTCTTGCCTATGTGCAGCATGCACTGCAGCAGTGTCAGCCTGGCCGCGATTTTGAGGGGAGTCTTTTTCAACACTGCCCTGACCGCCCCCGTGCATGGCTGATTAGTATTTTTCACTCTTTAGCAACCACCCACTTGATACATTTCAATTCACACACCCTCAATTTCGAGGGGGGGACCATCTATGCCATGCCATTGGGCGGAGGCTGCGTCGCCCTCCGCGGCCTACCGCGCAGGAATGCCTGCCAGTCTGCATTCAACCTGGACAAGATTAATAGTGCAATCACGTGACTCCTTTCGCCAGCGATGGATCGACGCGCCACGACCGTGCATTACATGATCCATCCGTTCACAAATGACGAAACGCGCTGTTGTTGTGCGCCATGCACATATAGTATGTACATATATATACCTTCATGCCCTCTGAGATGCACATCACACACACTACGAGTACAGGTCGCAGTGCGCAAACGACTTGCGGCCCCACGTCCCCGCACAGTTGATACTCTTAAGATCCACCTCCTGCCCCTCGCCGATGACCATAAATGTCAGCACCTTGCCTGTCATGTTCATCTGGTTCGCACCGTGCCAGCCGACGCCTGCGGTAAAGTCGCCCGCTTTGAACCGCACCAGCGCGATCGGGAGCACGCGAGGCACGGCGCGCGTCCATCTACGAGCAGCACGCTCGATGCGCTCGACGGCAAAGGGGTCACCAAAGCCTGTTTGTTCTAGGACCTCCTGCGCCTCCGCCCCCACGCGTAGCCTTTCCGCAAAGCCAGGCCGCGAAAAGAATCCAAGCTGCTTGCTCAGCGAGACAATCTCGTCCGCGTCCACGCCCGCAAATTCTTGCGCGAGCGTCGCCGCTGCAGCTTCGTCCTCGGTCGCGAACACGGCAATGTCCACCGCACTGCGCTTCTCGGCGGAGCGGATGAGGAACAGCGTCGACAGGCTGACAACCGCATCCGCTCCCCTGGCGCCTGTGCATGAGGCACGCTCGAGCGCTTGCTCGATGGACGTCTTGCGCGAGTACAGCAGCTTGCCTGGCCTTGCCTTTGCCAGGTTGCCGTCAACTGCGTCGCCGAGCTCGGTGTGCAGCTCTTGCAGCCACGCCTTCTCCGCCTCGCTGTACGGCACGCCACCGGCCGGGAACGGCATGTCCTGGAGCAGCTCGGCGATACGTACCGTCGATGCGCGCGTGGGCGCTGCTACACCGGACTGCCGAAGGCGCAACAGCTGCTCTGCATTGCGGATCTGCTGCTGGATCACTTCCTCCTCTGCTCGCAGGGCCTGCATGCGCCGCCTCGCCAGATCGCGGAGCACGCTAATGTCCTCTCGGCTGAGCTGGGAGAGAGCATTGAGCCTCTCCGACCGAGACGAGGAGCCCGATGCAACACTGATGAGCCGGGTTAGCGTGACATTCTCCGCTGGTGACAGCTCGCCTCTGGCTTGCCTCGCTTCGACCAGTTTTTTGACGATCGGCAGCTCGGCATCACCATTGTACAGCCCCACCACACGGAAACTGAATGGCATAAACGCGGACGCGCGGAACGTTCGGGCAGTCGCGGACGTTTCAACCAAACAGTTGTGGTCCAGCGAGCGCCCGTGCACGCGCGTGACAACCTGCAATTGTAGGTCACCAGTGCTGGTAGGCGAGGACATGGCAGGGTTATCCTGACCTTCCGCAGTTGACTCTCGCACCCAAGAAGCATCGCCCGAGCGCCAGAATTCGGAGCGCTTCTTGCGCTGCGCTTTCACCATGTCGAGCGCCAGCATGTCGACGCGAGCTGCGAGCTGCGCCACACTGGCTCCGAACGAGTCCCTGTCTTCTGCGCTCAGCAAGCGCAGACATGCCTCCTCGATATCCGGATTGACTGTTTTTCCGTCAGCCACAGACTTCAAGTCTAGTTCTGCCAACGTTGTCTGCCCTACCAGTTCCCCCTCAGCCATCGCTGCTGGCTCCATCTGTGCCTCCGGCTCCTGCGTACAGACTTGCTCCGTATCGTTTTGAAGAGTCTCTAGACTGACAGATGCATCCGCTTGCGCGCCTGCTTCGCGCTGCAAAAAGTCGCGCTCGGCTTCGCTGCCGCTGAAGAAGCTGTCCGAGAGGATCTGCGAAAAAAAGTGCGCCTGGGCCATCTCTCGAGGACGCTGAGGCTCCTCTGGATTCTCTGAGGGAGGGGAAGGCCCCTCCGCTTGCGCACTCGGCGACGGCTCGTCATTTGGCAGGGCCGGAGCCGGAGCTGTGGTTGGAGCCGATGCGGCGGACACCTGTGCGTAAGTCAGCGCGAGCAAGCTAGCTCTGATCTCGACAATCTGTGCGCGCGCCGACTGCATCGAGTCCATCAGATCGCTGTGCGCCCGTGTGCCGCTCGTGACCAGATTCCTCGACGAATCGACCACAAGTTCTAGCTCGTCCTGCAGCCATAAGAGCAGTCCATTGACCTCGGCGTACCGGTCCGCTTCGCTGGCTTGCACGAGGCGCGCGCGCTCGAACGCCTGCACGACGCGCTGGTGCAGCGAGACGATGCTCTCGCGCGCGGTGCCGAGAGCTTCCCAAGACGCTGGGATGTCGCTCACGCTTGCCTCTCTCGCGGTCACTTCTAGCTGGCGAACTTCCTCCCGCGTAGCATCGGGCAAGCGCACACGCACCGCCGAGAGCGCTTCAGCCCAGCCTGGACTCAGTTCCTGGGGGCGTGCAAGCGGGACGGAGCGCATGGCGCTGTCCACCTCGTGCGTCACGGACGGCAAACGGCGCGGACGGCGCGTCTCGCGCGGATCATCGGCGTGCCCCATCTGCAGCATTGACACGCGCTCTGCGCCGTCGTCTGCGGGCGTGGCATGCTCCATCGGCCCCAGGCCGGCGGACAGCCATGGGGGCGGACTAGGCAAAGGCAGCGGCGGGGGTGCTGACAACAGTGGCGCTTCTCCATTGCCAACGCTGAGGTCGGCCAAGGGCGGTGCTTCTGCACCGAATTCAAATACGCATGAGAGACAATATCAGCAGGTCTTATAGAGGACAGGTAATCAAGGGGGCTAACGCGATGGAAAGATGACGGAAAGATGAAGACTCACGCAACAGAGTCCAGCCGCCGCTGGAATCCTCCGCATCAGCGATGACGAGCGCTGAGCGGTTTCTCTGCCTCTGCACAGATTGCAGCAATCCAGAAGGCACCGACGGCTGATCCAGCGCCTGCCTGCGGCTTGTCGTCGACGATACAGCAGCAGCCGCAGAGCGGCGCTGGGCCCGCGAGACGCGGAGTCTGCGATGCAGGGTGATCGTAGGAAGGTCTCCGTGCCACCCTGCAACGGCACTCGGCATGAAGCCGGGCAGGTTGTCGCCGTCCGGATCGAATATGTCGTCATCATCGTCGTTACCCTCATGCGTGTCGCTCCACTCATACGATGAAGCCTGCTGCGACGACAATGCAGAAGGTGGTTGCCCCTCTCCTTCTTCGCTCGCTCCCGCGTCTCTGTCTCGCAGATGCACATCCGACAGCGCGCGCATGAGGTCTGCCAACTCTCCTTCGGGATCATCATGCGCTCGCAGCGGCCGTCGCGACGATGCTGACAGAGCTGTGCCGCCGCCTGAGGCGCCGCCGACCGAACCAGACGTCGAAAACGGCGCTCGGACTCCATCGGGCCCGAACAGTCCCGGCGGCAACGCTGATCGGCGAGCGAGCTGCGGTATCCTCCACGGCGCCAGGGTCTGAGCGTGGCCCTGAGGTGGAGCCCGAGCAAGAGAAGCAACAGTGGGAGCAGCGGCCGACGGTGCGCTCGCGCTTCCTGCTCGGACGGTAGCCGTCATGGCAGCTGTCTCGCTCTGAACGGGAGATGGCGCACCGCTGCGTAGCGTCCGGTTGGCCTCTGCTTCGTCGCCATCGCCAGCACCGTCGGGCTCGCTATCGCGAAGCCGCGCGCGTGCCGCGCGGCGCATCACCCTGGCGTCCACTGCGGCGGCCAACGCGATGCGATTTTGCATCATCGAGCGCGCCGTCGCCGGCTGCCGCACGACGGATGACACCGAGATCCAGAATGCGTTCGACGCCGCTTCGGACGCTAGCACGCTCGCAGGCGCCTGCTGCTGTTGCTGCGCAGTCTGCTCTTCCTCCTCTCCAGCTGCCGCTGCCTGTTGTCGAGTCGACTCGGGGCCCAAATCTGCGGCCAAAGCGGTGCGTGAGGCCGGGTCACGCACGGCGAAAGCGAGGGTGCGCGTGTGCGTGCGCTGGCGCTGTGTAGCAGATCCTGCAGAGCCCGGACCCGCGCCAGCACCTTGACGCCTAACGCCTGTTGCTTCCGCTGCTTGTGCTGATGCTGCTGTTCGTGCTTCGCCCACTTGTAGAGATGATGACGAGGAAACGGAAGTGGACGGAGCGGCGCGCCTGCCAAGCTCGGCGCGGAGCCACTCGCCAGCGGGGCCGGGATAACGCCTCGACCAGAGTGAGTGTGAGAGCAGCCTCGGCTGCGCAGTCACAGGGCTGGGCCCGATCGGACCGGAGCCGGAACGTACTACCTCGAGCAGCGAGATCTGTTCCGGGTACGCGGCGGAGAAGGAGAGCATGCTGGCTGCGATGCCCCTGCCGAGCAACGTGCCGCGGAGGCCGTCACCTGCCTCCTCTTCGCTATCGGACGCTGACGCCACGCCAGAGCCAGAAGAAGTGATTCTCGTGGCAGGAGAAGGAGGAGATATGGCTGCTGCGCGATTCTCACGGTGTCGCACGCCTGCGCCGAAGGCCAGGTCCGCGAGCAGACGGTGCCAGGCTTGGTGGTCAGTCTCTGCGCGCCCGGTTGGAATCCAGTCGCTGCTTGCTGAAGGTAGAGATGATGGTCCTTCTTGCTGAGCGTCACCAGCGCCTCTTGAATAAAAAGACGACGATGAAGATGAATGGGTGGCAGCTGCAAGAGCATCGCGGCTGGTGCGCCATTCGTAGAAAGCGACTTCGGCTGCTCGATGCAGGTTTGCGACTTGCACGGTCATCGAGGCGGGTCGTGAAGTGGATGCCGTATGGGTTAGAATTATGGGATTTGGGCCGGTGCGAGCTTGCTGCTGCTGGTGTACTTGTTCTTGCACTTGTGCGTGCCGTTGTCGCTGCGCCTCGTGCGGGGGTAGGTAGATGTCCAGCAGCGGAGAGGGTGTTGTCGTTGGCGTGTCGGTTGCTGTTGTTGCGACTGCGGCCGCTGCCGCTGCCGTGGCAGAGCTAAAGGAGGGCATGCTTATGAGCAGTGCTATTCATATAGCCACCACACATGCGTCTGTCGAAGAAGCGGCTCCAGCGGGTGGTAATGAGGCTCAGGCGGGGCGGAGCTGCTGCTGTTGTTCGGGCAGGCCGCTGTGAGCCGTTGTTCTGTTGTTCAGTATGAATGAGCGGAAAGAAGCAAGCGAGCGATGGGTGCTGCCGCTTTCGCGCAGTCCGCGCTGCAAGGTGTATAAGGGTCAACTGCACGGCTCTCTGAATCCAAACTACATGCGCACTACAAGCTACCGACAAACAGCATCAGGACATGTCCAGGTCCATGGTGATGATGATGGCAATGGTGATGTTGGCGAAGTTCCGCCTACATACATTCCACTGGCGCCACATTTGGTACGCAACCCTACTCTTCCGGAACCATCTGTGCTGCTCGTGATTCGGCTGCGCCCCCAATGACCACCCACACATGTCTCGACGTCATCAAATGAGATATGAGCCGCTTATTGCTCGTTGCACGCGGCACGCAGCACGCCCCGCTCATCAACATCTGCGTGCTCGGGCATCCTTCCTACGCTCTCCTTCCATCATCTTATCATCTGCCTCCGACCTGACGCTCCACTCCCGCGAACCCGACAGCGGGAGGGAAACTGCAAGCAAGCTGAAGCACCCTTCTTTCTCCCGTTGAACACCTCGGCCCAAGCCCAGCTACCCCGCACACTTTACTGCACACCATGGCCGCCCGCAACGACCTCTCGCACCTTGCCGACAGCGATGACCGGTCCTACGTCGTAGGCAAGACCGCTCTGCAGTGGGCACAGTACGCCTGCCTCGCCGCCACACCCATCTATGCCGTCCAGGCGGTGCGGCATGGCGCGTTTAGCTTTCACCGGCTGGCGCGGTACAAGTGAGCGATTTTGGCCAGCTTTACCTGCGTTCATGCAAACCGGCCCCGAGCGAGCCCACCTTCTGACATGTTCCTCTCCATTCCCCCTCTTTCTCTGGGGGAATCTTAATCGCCAGCTGGACCATCCCCCTCGCAGGAGGAGCGCTCGGAGCTGGCTATAGCACCGTGACTGCGGCGTCGAAGAGCGCAGCGACGCTTAAGGAAGAAGCAACGCAACTGCGCTACGACCGCAGTCGCGTGCGCCAGGAGGACTACCACCTGATCGGCGCCGCCGTCGGCGCCCTCGTTCTGCCTGCGCTGCTGCGTGAGTACCAGCTCGGCGAGGCGGCGAGGATAGTGCTGCCACCGCTGACTTCTCCCCCCCCTTCTCATTCCCCTGCGCTCGCCGGATCATCATTCTGCACAGTCCGGAGAGTCGGCCTCTTCAACGGCGCACTGGGCGGAGCAGGCCTCGGCGGCGCCGCCGGCCTGGGGTACAACTTTGCCGAGTCGTTGAGCGGCGGCGCCAGCACCCTCAGCTCCAAACCGGCGATGCAGCGCGAGGCTGAGGCCTTCGGGCAACAGGCCAAGGACCTGGGGAATCGGTCGCTCAGCAAGGGAAAGGAGACGCTCAAATGAAGTGAATCACGGTTGGAACATCATATTGTGAATGGAGTAGGGAGAAAGACGGAAGCGCCAGCGCTAAGCAAATGTGCAACACCTATAGCCTTTTCTTCGCACGTCGGCAGGGGAACGGCGGCTTGACTATACGAAATGATATCTCTGCTTTCTATGGATCATCGGCTACATACATACTTGACACAGGCTGGTCTGCTCCCGTCTATTTACACACATTCCATTTCCACCTCACGTGTTCCGGGACCGCATGTCTTTCAGATGTGCGCAGAGTTAATGTCCACCGGCCCCTTTGCGTACACTTGTGAAATGGACAAGGAATGTGCGGCGAAACGAAGGTCAGCCTTTGAAATCCACCTGTGTCCAGAGAGATGGATGAAAGAGAGGCCGGGGAGATGCATGACTCACGTTGCTTGATAGCGTTGCTGTAGAACTTGCTCGCCTCGGGCCGCTTGGTCTTGAACGTCGGTGTCAGCAGTCCGTTCTCAACGCTCATCAACTCAGGCGACAGGTGGACGCCACGCAGCATCTCGACGCCGTTGAGGCCGCGCTCCTTGCCCAAGCGCACCAGGTCCAGCAGTACAGCCTCGCGCAGCTTCTCGTCCGCACAAAGCGACGGGACGTCCGATGGCGAGACGGCGCGCCCGAGCACGTTGGACGCGAAGCGTGCGAACGGCTCCGGCTCCGGAATGCAGATGGCGATGAGATAGTCTGAAATTATGGACAAAAGGAGAGGCGTTCAGCTCGGTTAAACGCTTGTCTTGAGACGTTCAGAAACGACCAACTTACCCTGCAGACTCTCTCCATACACCATGATCTGCGCGAGGTGGTCCCTGCCGTTGTACGTCTGTTCGACCTTCTCAATCGCGACATACTCTCCCTGACTCAGTTTGACAAGGTTCTTGACGCGGTCGATGATGTAGAACCTGCCCATCTCATCGACGGACGCGACGTCGCCCGAGTGCAGCCAGCCTTCCTCATCGATAGTCTCGCGTGTCTTCGCCTCGTCCTTGAAGTACCCGCTGAATACGTTGGGCCCGCGCACGAGCAGCTCTCCGCGCGGACGGGGCTTGTCGCTGCTAAAGTAGTTCAGCTCCGGGCAGTCTTTCAGGCGCAACTCGACTCCCACTTGCGGCGCGCCGACGCTGCCGACTTCCTTCCTGAAGCCAATATTGACGGTGCACTATAAAGGAACAGGAAGAACGACCGGTTTTTGTTAGCTGTTGTCAACTTTCTCAATCAGTCTATTCTTTTTGGTACGCACATAGCCCTGCGTCACGAAAGGAGAGTAGACAGAAACGGTTTCAGCATGGCAGTAAACGGTAGCGAGATGGCGCTTCGCACGACCCCACTCACGAGATTCTCTGTCTGACCGTAGCCCTCTCTAACATCGGCACAAAAGGCGATGCGCAAGAGCTTGAGCACCTCTGGGCGAATGGGCGCGCTGCCGCAGATCATGAGCTGCACGTTGCCGCCGAGGATGGCCTTGACCTTTCCAAAGATGAGTCGGTCCCAGAAGGCATGTGTGACGCTTCCGTCAATATCGTGGTACGCGAGCTTGCTCTCGACCGCACGGCGCAGCAGCTTGGCCTTGAAGCTGTCGCCATTCATCTGTTCCTGGATCTGCGCGGCGATGCGATTCAGCACGCGTGGCACGGCGGGGAAGTAGTCCGGCTTGAGCAGCTGGCAGTCTTCGACCAGGCGCAGAGGATCGCCTGTTGAGTAGCCGATGCGGCCGCCGCGTGTGATCACGCCAGCCTCCAGCAGGCACTCGAAGACGTGTGCGACGGGCAGGTATCCGATCATCGCAGCCTTCACCGGTGGCAGCAACACCTTGGTTCCCTCGGCTGCCATGGCGAGCTGTCCGTGCGAGACGAACGCAGCTTTCGGCTTGCCGGTCGTGCCGGACGTGTAGCAGTACATCGCGATGGCCGATGTGGATGTTGGCGGTGTGTGCGCATGTAGGTTCCGGCGCCCAAGGTCGAGAAGCTCATCCCATTTAATGAGGCGAACACCCTTCTCCCGCGCCCAGCTGGCCGCAAGCTGGTTCATGTGTATCTGGCTAGGCGGTAGCTTATCGCTCTGCCCTTTCATGGGTGCGGGAGGAGCTTGGTCAAGCAGGACAATAAGCTTCAGGTGCGGCAGCTCGCCGACTTTGGACAGGACCTGATGGAAGTGCGCCGAGGTAGTGAAGACGATGCGCGACTCCGAGTGCTTAAGGATGTAGGCTGCGTTTTCGGCCTCGTACGTGTCGTAGATGCATACCAAGCGGCGAGAGTAGGCGTTGCACGCCTGGTGGACGATCTGGAACTCGGGCTTATTGTTCGTCCAGAAAGCGACGCACCAGTCCATCGGCGGGATGTCGTTGCCCAACTTACCGTCCTTGGCCAACTGCGACAGCGCACTGCCGAGCGCCGTACGCCGCTCCTCAACTTGGATGAAGGTGATGAACTCGAAATAGTCCGCATAGTCTCCTTTTGCCCAATCCCAGGGTCGGCATCCGACAAAGTCGTTGTTAGGTGAACGACTACACGCCCTGGAGAAAGTGTCGTACGCGGTAAGCTGGATGTTCAGCTCGGGGACCATGAGGTTGCGGTAGATGGGCGTGTAGCCAGGTCTGGCAGAGCTCGGGACCTCGAGGGCCTGCTTGTCCTTGGGCCATTGATCAGGCCTGCGTGTGACACAAGTGGGGAGCGAGGGGGAGAAGTGTAGTTAGGTCAGCGTGGGGTAGCTTGCTTTGGGCCAAAGGCTCCCCGAAGATGGCAGACGCTCACGGAACATAAGTCAAGCTGGTCATATTGGGCAATTCGCTGGGTAGGTGAGCTGAGCCTGTAGCGTGATGATGTGGATGCAGCAGCGGCAGCAGCAGCGCGTTTGCTAATGGTGAGTGGGAGAGTGAAAGGACGAGCTCGACGAAATGAGCCCCAAGTGTCAGAAGGGAGGTGAGGGTTGGCCCGTCGGCGCAAACGAGGTATGCTGGCTGCCACCGGCTATGCGTGTCCAGCGTCAGCCGGCAAACAGCATGGCTCGGGCACAGCGGGATACTCGGAAGCATCGCCCAACCCTACTTGATTTTCTAACAATGGGCACTGGCAACCCCATATGGTCCCCCGGTATGTGAATACTATGTGCAAAGTAGTAAACAGACCCGTCTCCGGTTCGGGATGGGCTCGGCCCGGCCCCACAGATTACCCGGCTGCCGCTCTACTTCACGGCCCTCCCACATCTCAGTCCAAGATGTACCGCACCACATCGTGCCATCCCCACGTGATGCCACGATAGAGGACACCAATGACGATAGCGATGCACAATGAGCTTCACAGAACAGAAGCAGGCTCATAGATGAGAGTGAATGTCGATTGTGCCCCTTTCGTAGACGATGTAAGGATTGTACGTCGAAGAGAGAAGGCATGCCAGCCCCCGCACTCTACAACCTCACACTTTCACTGGCTACTGACAAGCTTGGACCTCCTTCTCAAATTGCTTGACCACCTCGAATCGCTTGGTCCTGAACATAGGCGTCAGCTGTCGGGCCTCGATACTGAACATCTCCGTCGCAAGGTGCAATCCGCCAAGCATCTCGACGCGGTTCAAACCCGGCTCCCTGCCTAGGGGCACGGGGTCCAGCAGGACAGCATTCGATAGACACAGGTCCGAGCAGAGCAAAGGGGCGCTCGCCACAACTAATTTGCGGCCAAGCACCTGCTCGGCGAAGCGTGTAAATAACTAGGACGAAAAGATGCAGACTGCGACCAAGTAGGTATCAGGGATTCAACTGAACGACGGGAAAAGGTCGGGCGTGATCCCAGCTCCAAGTCGAGCTCGAGAGCTCCAGCTTGGGAGTACGACAGGATATTGATCCATAGTCCGCCGAGAGTTGAGTCCGAGGCCTTATCCTGCTGACCTTTTGTTACCGTCATCTTGGACCAGCTAGCTGTGTTCTGAACACCGTTCCGGAAGAATGAAATGCGAGTTTCTCCGCTTTCCTGGCGTGTTCCAAACGTTACTATCCTAGACCAACCAGCTGAACCAACAGCCGCTTTGTAAGCAAGCTTGAGTCTTGTAATGTGGAAATTGGGTATTCTCCTGCAGTCCTGTCTCGTTTTGAAAGCTCTTTGACTCGGACATATGTCCTTGAAACATGGCAAACCCGGACTGCTGCAGGCTCATCGACCATTTCCAGGCGGTCCGCGGGTGCCAAGCTGAGATGTCTTTGCCTCAATTGTGAAGCGAGTTCGCTTGCCACCGTGCAGCATGTCCCCGCGAAGCAGTCAAATCAGCGTAGTGCATCCAAGAGCATACTCTGCACTCATGCGCGGCCCAATTCCCATAGCGTCAGCCTCGGTACAACCTGCCACATCCCACCGCCCAGAAAAAAATACGTTGTAGTGAAAAGCAATATTCCCTACGGAGACCAGCGACATCAGCGAGAGCCTTGAATCACTATAGAAGGTGATTCCAGCAAGTTCCGGCGTCTCCGTGGCTGCCCCGGGGGGAGCGGAGGTGGGACAAGAACAGCGGTTAGTGGTTTTTGCATGATGTATTCAAGACTGGCCACAGCTGTTACCGTCGTCCTCTGTCACATTGGCCATATTGCAGTCACCCGCTGCGAGTTGGCAGTTTTTCACCTTAACTCCAGAACTATGGAAATCAAACGAATGACTCCATTTCATCGACTTGAGTAGATATAAACATATCACATATATTATAAGGATCAGGCGATCAGGAGCAGACCCCTCGCAGCCGCTTGCCCATAGCTGGTCTGGAACGTAAATGACATTGGAACATAAAGCTTTCATGCAATTCCGCAATGTCATAGGCTTCGTTGCTTCACCGTCCTCCAACAGCAATCAAAGTGGTACCTTCTGTATCCAGTTGGGGGCGGCGAAATTATGGGCCCGCCCGGCGCCCAGCCACCGCCCCAGCGGCCAATGATGGCCTTCGACGAGACATCGAAGGATCAATACACGCTCGTGTTACCGTCGAAACCAAACTGACGCAAAGTCCTGAGGCCACATAGGAGTACATTTGGGATCGTGTGATGACGTGGTGTGTACCTACGAGACACGTTCGCAAAGCATATCCAACAACGCTCACCTGAGCGCACCTTACATATGCGAGCTCACAAGCCTCCCCCCCCGGACGCCGGCCACCTCCCTTCACACGTAGCGCATCTGCAAACCATACGCTAAGGTACGCAACTCATGCGGCCACCAGGCTGCGGTCGCATTTTTGGGCGCCGAGCCGTTGACTGCTTGACTAGCTATCAACTGAACGAAGATGGCTTCGCCTCCTCGAACTTGCCTGCTCGTAAGGTTTGCCTACCACCTAAGTTATATTGGCGTGATGTACAGCGACACGTGCGAGTGCTGCGATGCGAGATTAAATGTCCTGTGATGTGATGTTATAAAAAGCGAGGAACAAGTTACAGCAGCGGGCGGATGTCCACTGCGCCCTTGTCGTATACTGCGCAGCGCAGCAGACAAGAAAAACGGCGGAGACGGTCGCGTAAGTCTCTACCTTATCACTGCAACTGCAATCCTCGCGACACTCACAAGCCTTGACCTCCTTCTCAAAATACTTGGCCGCTTCGGGCCGCTTCATCTTGAACGTCGGCGTGATGAGCCCGTTCTCGACACTGAACATCTCTGGCGTCAGGTGCAGACCGCGGAGCATCTCAACGCCATTCAAGCCGCGCTGCCTGCCGAGGCGCACCAGGTCTCTCAGCACGCTGGTCACCACTTTTGGATCTGCGCAGGCTAACGCGAGATCAGAAGGCGAAGAACTGACGGTGCGGCCAAGCACATGGCTCGCGTATCGTGCGAACGCCCCTGGCTCTGGGACGGCGACGGCGATCAGGTAATCTAAAAAGCAAGGTGGAGGTAAGGAAAATATGAGCAATCCAGATGAGTCGATCAAGGGCGTCCCCGCGCAAGCTCACCTTGCAAGCTATCGCCATGCACCCAAATCTGTGCGAGGAACTCCAAGCCGGTGTACATCTGCTCGACATTCTCGAGGGCAACGTACTCTCCCTGGCTGAGTTTGAGGACATTCTTGACGCGATCGACAATGTGGATCCTGCCCTTCTCGTCCACGGCGGCGATATCTCCAGAATGCAGCCACCCCTCTTCATCGAGCGCCTCGCGCGTCTTGGCTTCATCCTTGAAGTAGCCCTGGAAGAGTACGCCGCCGCGCATTAGCAGCTCACCGCGTGGCCACGGTTTGTCGGTAGTATAGTAGTTGAGCTGCGGGCAGTCTACCAGGCGGACTTCCACGCCTGCACTTGGCGGTCCGACGCTCGCTGTGTCCTTGTCGTTTGGTGCCATGCTAGTGCAGACGCTGCATGAAAGATTCAAAGTATGGACGTGTAAGCAGAGAGAAGTCAGTTGCTCTCCGCTTCACCTCGTGCTGAGCTTCTGGTTTGCGCCTCACCCTCTGAGGCGCGAGACGTCCGGCGAAAGGTGTTTTCAGGTGCGTCGTCAGCAAGGTCTGCATTCGATGTGAGCGCTGTCAAGTCGCACTGGCTCACGAATTCTCCGTCTGGCCATATCCGTTGCGCAGATCCACACAGAACGCCACCCGGAGCAACTTGAGCACCTCTGGTCGAAGCGGCGCCGAACCGGAGCAGATGTTGGCGACCTTTCCACCCAGGATCATTTTGACCTTATTGAAGATGAGTCGATCCCAGAATGCGTGCGTCACACTCCCGTCCATATCATGGTAAGCAACCTTGCTCTCCACTGCGCGGCGCAGGAGCTTCGCCTTGAAGCTGTCGCCAGCCATCTGCTCCTGGATTAGTGCTGCGATGCGGTTCAGCACACGCGGCACGCTGGGGAAAATAGTCGGTTGGAGCACCTGGCAGTCTTCCACGAGCTTGAGCGGATCCCCGCTGAAGTAGCCGACCCGACCGCCAGACTCGATCACCGTCGTCTCGGCAAGGACTTCGAAGATGTGCGCGATGGGAAGGTAGCCAATCATCGTGTCAAGACCAATTGTGCCGAGCGCCGCCGACTTGGCTGCATATGCCAGGCCACCGGTCGTGATGATTGCGCCCTTGGGCGTCCCTGTCGTGCCTGATGTGTAGCAGTACATAGCAACCGTGTTCGGGTCCGTCGAAGGCGTATGCGCATGAAGATGCTCGCGGCCGTACGAAAGGAAGTCGTCGTAGCGGTAGAAGAGTAGACCCTTCTCCGAAGCCCATTGCAATGCAACGCGATCCAACCCGACTTGGCCTCGCGGTAGCTTGGCGCCTGTGCCTCCGCTCGGTGAAGGGGCTTCCTTGTCGAGGATGACGATGGCTTTGAGCAGCGGCAGCTCCGTTTTGCGCTCCAGCACTTGTTGAATGTGGCTGGAGGTGGTGAAGATGACGTGTGACTCGGAGTGATTTATGATGTAAGCTGCATTGTTCACGTCGTACGAATCGTAAATGCAGACAAGGCGGCGAGAATAGGCATTGCAAGCCTGGTGCACGATCTGGAATTCGGGCCGGTTGAGCGCCCAGAAGGACATGCACCACTCCTTGCTGTCCACATGGATCTCCTGACCGAGCTTTTTCTCCTTTGCGAGTTGGCTGAGTGCGCTTCCGAGCGCGGTGCGCTGTTCGTCTGCCTGTGCATAGGTGATCCACTCGAACGAGTTCGCTTGTGCGCCCGTTGCAAAGTCCCAAGGCCTGCAGCCGACAAAGGGGGAATCTGGCTTCCTTGCGAGCGTGCGGTTGAACACGTCGTAGAGCGTTGATGTGCTATGCACCTCGGGAAAAACAGCGTTGCGGTAGATAGGTGTGAAGCCCGGCTTGGCCGAGCTGGGAACTTCGATGCTGTAGCTTGACGCCATTGTCCAAGAAGACCACTTGCTTGCTTAGCGGGAACTGGCCTGAGGGTGCCGACGATCGACAGCGCTGCTCGGCTGGAGTATGTGTGCCGTCCAAGGAGTGTCCCAGTAGCTGAAAGTTGGAGGGATGCTTGATGCCAATGCGAAAGACGAGATGGTGGGGGGTCTTTAATGTCTATCCACTCCGCACTATAGCTTGTAAGGGGGGGTTGGCCATGTGCCCTATCCGGTTCAATTCAACCGGAAGTCGACCCGGTTCAGCGCACTCAAACAGTTGAGTGGCGCAGCTACCTGTTGTCAAGGGACTCGGGATTGCGACCCAGAGCTTCATCACAGTGTATAATCAATCCTACACGCGGCACACCATTATTTTTATACGTTGATTTATTTAAACAAAGTGCCCACGCCCCAGCCAGCTTCTTGCCTTATTCTCCGTTTGGTGTCTCCCCTTGGTGCAGACTCTGCAAGAATCAGGCAGTGAGGGACGAAGGGAGCTGGGCGACGGTGATCTGTGACAAACACCAGGGGCCACGGGGCAGGAAAACGCAGTGTGGGTGCTGGAAGGGGTGGCTGAGAGCTGGTCCGGCGCACGACACGACCCCATTCTGTCGCGTTTGCCATGTCCAGAGCACTGCTTCCGGCAGCACCAGCTCAAACTCTAGCACCACCCTACTGCAGCGCACGGCAACCATGACTGCCGCCCGCTCGTCCCCTGCTTTTCACCCTTCCATCGGCTTGCCTGGCCAGGCAGTCACCTACGTTCCAAATGACATCTCCGCTTGGCACCATTCGCGCGGCGCAGCGCATTCTAGCGATGCCGTCGAGCCAGGCACCGACAGACAAGCGCTAGGGATCCGCGAGGAGCCTATTACCAGCGTTGATTCTGGCTCCAGTATTTATATCACGGTCACCGTCCCACCAGCGTCGATACACTCCATCTTTGCACATCGACAGTGGCGGGCGGGCATGATCCTTGCCGACTTGATCTACTCATCCAGCACCCGAGAGTCAGGGGACGATGAAATGTATGCAAAACCAGGCCTCCTGGATGTTTCCGGGAAGCATGTACTGGAGCTCGGTGCCGGAACCGCTTTGCCGGGAATCGTCGCAGCCCGTACCGAAGCGAGGGCCCAGCAGGTGCGTTTGGGCGTATTTGGCAACTTTCGCCACTTCGCATCGGGCTGGCTTGAAGCGAAACTTAGACCAATTTGGATTGCATTTCCTTACAGGTAGTTATTTCGGACTACGATGAAGAGGCTCTCATCATGAGGCTTAAAGCTAATGTCAAAGCCAACGTGCCTCCAGCGCCCGCGGGTTCCCGCTCTCATGTCACTGCAACAGGGCATATTTGGGGCCAGGATGTATCTGAGCTTCTCGACCTCATACCGGAACCATATCGCCTTCAAGAAGCGCTGTATGCTGCGAAATTCCCACAACAGCTGCGCTTTACGACCATCCTCCTCGCCGACTGTCTTTGGGACAGCTTGTCGCACACCGCGCTGCTGCGCACGATAACGCGCACGCTAGAGCGCTCGGCACATGCTCGGGTATACGTTGTCAGTGGCCTTCACACGGGCCGCGAAACGCTCGTGTCGTTCATCCGGCGCGCACGGAGGGAAGGAATCGTGCTGAAAAAGTGGCTGGACATCGAGGAAGAGCAATTGGCGGGTGAGGAGGCCCCTGCGCCGCAGGAGAAGGATCAGACGAGACGGGCCAGGCTTGTCAGGTCTAATGACCCAGACGACGCAGACGCAGGAGAGGAAGGTTGGGAGGCGTACCTGCTAGAAGTGCAGCTTGCGCTCGACGAAGAAGATCACGGTGAAGGTGGTGATACTCCCTCTACCTCACAAGAGGCGGGATCGACGTCGGACTCAACGGTACCAGCGCTACTAGCCGTCGGCAGCCGCATCGATCCGCTTGTCACGCGCCCCTTCAGCTCGGTCGAGCGACCAGAGGAGCGAAAAGAGATCGGCGGCGTGCAGCCGAGAAATCGCTGGATCACCCTGTGGAGCCTTGGATGGAGTTCAAGCGCACTCGATGGTTAAACAGCTGTCGGACTGAAACCAGATACCCTTGACCTTGAAGGTTCATGTTTCAAGCAAGGATAGAATCAATTAGCGACTTTTTCATTCATCTAATATGACTAAGGCCCCTTCCAAGGTCTCCACCATTTCTGTGGCGTTAAGTGCAGTAAGGTACATACGCATCTGGTCGCTTCGGCTATGACATGAGGATCGCTGTTGGTACTGTGCGGCAATGTGTCCCAACTCACTGTCTCACACTATATGCAGACTGTTGTCGGGTACTTGAGTCGTTAGTTGCCGAAGACCTGACGACATGCGGCAGCTGAAATTACGTTCCGCTTTCCCTCTCGCTCGCTTGTATCATTCACTGCTGTACAGCCAAAAAGAACCGACCGACCGTTGAGCTGAGCAGACACGATTCCCACTCAAAGAACATTCCAGGTTCCCATGTAGCCCATTGCTCGACGAAGCTCTGAAGCTCCCTGCACAGCCAGTCAGCCACCCACTGTTGTGATGCAAGGTGCCACAGGCTGCATAGCTTGGACTGTCCCGCCAGGACGCCCAGAAATTGACGAACAATGAACCAATGCTTGCCTCATTGCATGACTCGCTGGCGGCCGATGGCCTGCCGAAGGCGAGAAGATACAGGTGGATACATACTGCAACATGGATCTGGCCAGACCAATGGTACACCTGGGTCCTCAACCTACCTAGTTGAGCCAGATTCAGCCAGCATTGCCCAAGGGATAATCACGGGTGGATGCCCCTGTGCTGCATTTGTGTACGCCAGTGCGCTCCTTTAGGCTCGGACTTCTGTAGCAAGGGAAAAGAGACGCTGGGTTGTTTGAACGCTGGACTCCGGCATTGACATGCCGCTCGCAGGCTTGCATTGTACCTTGCGAGTTGCGCCCAGTGGGTGGATGACACGTGACACCTACTTGAGATTTGCCCCGACTTTATCCCAGCTTTCCTTCGGCACTCGCCACTTGCAGGGCACTGGCCATCGGCTTGGGTCCCCAGCACTTGAACACGCTGCGTGTCATGTCCGTCTCACCAACAGGTTGTTCAGTCTGTCCTTGAACTGCGCGTCCGTTGCGCTAAAATGATCTTAGACGGCTCTACCAAGCTCAACATCCACCGTTCCGCAACGGTCCGCAGCCCCGTCGAATGGCTCCATGCGTGATGTGACGCTGCTTGAGTCAGCCGCTGACCGAAGCATCGCGAAGATGTGCACTGGCACAGTCCGGCATGGTACACGGGCGACACTCAACTCGCTTTGTCAGATATCACAGCGATGTGGGAAGAGTGTGGGGCGGCTTCGTAGGGACAGCGCGATCAACACGGTTGCAAGCCGAAGCCAAAGTCGTTTACGCGATGACGAAGTGAACTTGCACACCATGTTCCCCCTAACGTGTCTCTTGCTACCGCCATGACGACGAGGACGTAAATCGCCGCCCACCATCATGGCAACCTCTTGCATCACATTTTCTTGCTCTTTCGCTGATGCGTACCTACCTATAAGCCTGTTGTCAACACCATTGATTGCTCTCCATACCCAGCAATCGCCGCTGACCGCAAGATCGAGCTTGAGTAGGTCCATTATCGCACCAAAAATCCTGCGAGCAATTTGCAGCCATGGCAGGCTCTGCCGCCGCCACTCAGGAGAGCCGCAAGCGTGACAGCAGGGTCATTTCCTCCTCCGGCTGGAACCTGCAGTTTCCTGATGAATCGAGGCTTGCACAATTTCAGCTCGCCGCCAACGCCGGCTCGCCCTTCGGCAGTCACGATGGCTTCGAGCAATACGTCTCACCAGCGGCACTTTTCAATGCTGGTTCCAGTAGCCATCAGGACCGGTCGCCCGCTCGCCAACGGCAACTGAGTTCCTCTCCATCCAAGTCGCAACTGCGCCAAGCTCGCAGCAAAACCAGCTTGCAACAGAAGCGCAGCTCGGCGAGGATTTTGCTCGGGACCTCAACATCTACTGCTAACTCCTCTTCGCCAGCCAAGGCTGCTGCCGTGGTGATAGATGACCCAAAACCGGTTCACAAACGCAGCCGTACGGATATGCGTGCAGCTCGGAATGACGCCGAACCACCTCCTCTCCCTGCACACACACGCCATCGACAGTCCCTCTCTGTCGATCAGCAGCAGCTCTCGCAGTATTTTAATGGTGCCAGTATGCAGCCGGTGGAAAATGCCGCAGGTGGTGGGTCCTGGCAGGCGCAGTTATCTGCTATGTCCGCAAGCTCCAATGACAACACGGCCACTGTTGTTGCGGCTGCTGCTACAAAGATGATTGTCAATCTCTCGCAGCAGGCTGGCTCGTCTGGCGTGGGCTCCAGCGCCACCTCGACAGCTGTTGCTAACGTCGCGGACGCGCTCAAGGCCGCAAACAATGCACCGCTGGAAGAGGCAGATGGCCTGCCTCCTCGCTCGATCTTCAATATCACGCACAGCTCGCACTTGTCCACCATATCGTTACGGCGCGACAAGACGTTGACGACGTTCATCATGTACGATGCAGCGCTCTGGTACCTCCTCTCTCATGTCGGCCGTCATGACCTTGCGGCCAAGATCGGGGACAGCTCCCAAGGCGAGCGCAGTCGCGAGACGTTTAGGCGCTGGTGCTTGAAGAGCTTCGAGCTGATCGACCGCGAGCGCATCGAGAAGTGGAAGCCGCTGGACAGCATGAAACCCGAGCTCAAAGATATGTTGTTCAACAACGCTTCAGAGGGGAAATACGCCGTCGTCAGCACATATACGGGGAAAGGAATCATTCCTCCCACAAGCGCCTACGACCTGCTCACGCGATGGTAAGTGATTAATTTTCGCTGTAAGTCGTGTTTTCTGCCAGATTTGCACTGACATATGCTTCCTCGTTGAAAGCCATCGCCAAACAAGGCATGGCGGTCGTGACAAGACACATGGCTCCCTGAAGCATCACTGCGCCAAGTGAGTTGCTCTCTTTAGCACGCAATTCTCGCATTGCGCTGATGCATTTTCTATGGCTTTTGCAGTGTTTCAAAGGAACTTGTGCAAGCTTTCATCAAGATCTGTCCAACATGCTCAGCACGGCGAAAGAAAGACGAGGCATCGCCTGATGATGCCGTCAGCGAAGGGGCAGACGCAACGCTGGACGAAGGCGAGGAGGAAGATGGCGACGAAGACTCGTCTGAGGACGAGGGAGACCTTACGCTCGATCCCAACCTCGAACCCATATCGCTTCCTCAAATCGTCATGCCCGATTCGGCTGGCCCTGCGCCCCTCGCTTTCACTGCTGACCAGCAAGCATTCCTCGCGTCTCTCAGGGCTCAAGGCTATGCACTGACGCGTCTCGAACACAGCGAAGTGCCAGCGTCTCAAAAACCAAGGCAAGAAAGCGCGGCCATGCTGCGTGGCGTGAGTGCCATGAGTCAGGGGTCCAGCACAACAAGCGGTGCGACAGCGTCGACGGATGGCCCCGTCACCCCAACCTTCGACCCAGCCGAGGCCAACGCTTTTGCTTGGATGGATCCAAACCACGGCATTCTCCATTCCGCTCCTCGCCTTACACCCACCACAAGTGCAGCGAGTACGAACGGCTCCATCACTGCCAAAGCTCTTGACCTCCCGCTCGATGCAAATGCCGAGACACTGCGCAGGTATCTACAGGCAGCCGAAGCGGGCTGCACCGTCACTGCGGTCCAAGACAACAACTCTTTCGCATGGAACGACCGCCAGGATGTCAGTGTAGATGGTAGCGGGAAAAAGCAGCGCGCGCCCAAACCGCCACCACTCAATCTGTCGATGCTGCATGCGACATTTGCTCAGCTCACTGGCTCTTCCAGCCAAGGGAGCGCGTCGATCGCATCGTGCTCGTCCATCAATACAGGCGGCTTGAACTCGGCCTCTTCAGCGTCCACAGCAGTGTCGGAGCCAGTTCTGCAACCGCGCGTCGCGCTCCATCTTCCGGGACTCACCATTCCGAGCAGGGTCGAGGCATCGGCCAGTGCGCCGCCGACGCAGACAGAATTCAACGTCAGCTCGCAAAAGCCTCACACAGCCATGTACATGGAGAAGCGCAACGTAAACTCGCCCCGCGCTTCGCCATCTTCACACAAGGCTACCCCGCTCAGCTCTATCCCGCAATCACAGCTGTCAAGCTTCGGTCCGACATATGGTGCCGTGTTCGGTAATGCCGGGCTCGGCGGCAGAGGCAACTTGTTTGATGAAGAACCAATGCTGCACCAAACCGTCTACGGTGCGCCTGACGTCCGAGTATATCTTGATCCATCGTACGGCATACCGCCTGAAGGGCACGCCTCTCACGCACCCGATCAGGCGAGCCAACGCCAACGTTCCAATACCCAGCTTTTCGAGAGCTTTGATCCTTCCATCATTGACCTCAATAAGCCAGACTTGCTGCTACGTCGCCACAGCCACTCGGGTCAGCATGATCCTGTCCGCCTCGCAGGCGGTGTAGTGGCCAGCAGCTCAGGCTCAGACGTCGATGATGGAGACAGCGGCGGAGAGGCCAGTTCGACGGGCAGCGTCATTGTGTATGATCTGAGCGGATCCGAATCGGACAGCGACTCAGCAGATAGCAAAAGGGTCGCACCAGTTTCCGTCACCACCCCTATGCGCGCCGGCGGCGATGGCCATGCCGAATGGCACAGGGAACAGCCGACGCAGCCCTCGCCCCTCGAGCGAACCGCGAAGAAACTCTCGACGCAGAAAAGCAAGGGTAACCTCCTCTTTCCGCTGGACATGGGCTCACCAGCCCGTCTGCAACAGCAAGCTTACGTGTCCGGACAGCTTAACAACATCGATTATGAACACGGGCACTTTGACCGTGACACCAGCAGTAACACTGATTTGCCCCTTTCGTCCTTCCGAAAGCTCAGCCTCGCGTCTCCGTTTGCGTTACACACCCACGATCAGCTTCCCAGCGCTGATAACGATCACACTGGCAACGATGCCTATGACTTCAACCGCTTTGACATCAGTAGCTCCTCATTTGAAGAATACCTCAACAGCTGCGTAACATCTGCACCTGTGACCTGAATTTGGAAACAACGTCTGTAACCATATTGTACCACCTATAACCTCGCATGCAAATTACTTTTTGGAAGTGTGAAATCTGCGGCATGAATTACGTACTTCCCAGTCTACATAATTTTGTCCTCGCGTCTTGCGAGAGCTGCGGGCTAGATACAGAGGCTGGACTATGGGGACTTATAAATAATCGAGCGCAAGCACACCCTCAGTCTGGGAGATGCCAATGTCTTCCCCTTCCTCCATCGCCGCGTCCGCTTCCCGCAGAATGTCACTCAGAGTGCGCCGATGGCCGCTTTTCTTCGCTGCTGTTGTCGCAACCGGCGGTTCTGACGGCGCCTCGGGACAACCAGAAGGCGAGGTCCTCGCAGTAACGCTTAGGCCAGTGGCATCAGCTGCGGTAGTGGTTGTATCCGGGCTGGCGGCTGCGTGCTTGACCAAGCTCGTGCTCGTCGGAGCCGGCGAGTCGAATTGCAAGTTATGGTTGTGAATGATGGTAACCGTAGAACCTCCTTTAATGGCTGATAGAGAGGAGGCACTTGCGTCGAATTTGGGGGGCGAGCGAGACAAGTCATCCTCGAAGGAAGACGATGTCGTCGACTTTGGCATGGTGGCAGCAGCTGAAGGAGAAGTGGCGAGCTCACTGGTTTTCGATGGGCCGACAGCGGTCGAAGGACTGGCTGAATTCGGGATCGCAGAAGGAGATGCGATTGCAGCGGTTGATGCGAATGGTGTCCGTGGCTTAGCTGGTGGGAATAGATCGAGCGGGCGATCGTTGGCTTGTACTTGACCAACACATGAGGCCGCATAGGAGGATGTTGATGTGGTCGATGTCTCGGCACCCGTGGTGCTTGGGGTGGCGGTAGATGAACTGCTCGATGTGGCTGATGGGCTGGGGACGGGCGAATCCGTAGAGACAGAAGAATGTCTAGTCGGCGCCGTCTCCACATGGGAGGCAGTCTCGGCAGACACGACCTCACTCTCTGATGCAGCGGCATCAATAGGAGCTGCCGAACCTGGAGCTGAGACTGACGGCTCCATCGGAGCTGGTACCGCTGAACTTGTCACAGTCGAGTCAGCCGAGACGACTGGACAACCATCTGCTACTGATTCCTTGTCATTTGTGGGTAGTCTCGTTGCAATGATAGGGGGGGATGGGCGTGGTGTGACTTCCTCTGAGTCGGCTGCCGCGGTAGTCAGCAATGGAACCGACGTCGTTTGGGTGACTATAGAAGGTTCATCGGACCGAGTGGGTGTGTCTTCAGAAGCTACCGTCGAACTCGCTGCGGCATTTGGCTCCGTGGCGGTGTCGAGTGTTGGTGCTGGCATGCTCCCGATGTCCTCAGAGAACGACGATGGCTTAGGCGCCGTCTCGTGTTCCACCGTTTCGCTTCCATCTGCCTGGCTCACGCCCGCCTTGTCAGCATCCACCTGGCTAGCGTCTGCCTGATTCGAGTCTGCCTCGTCTGTCTCTGCCTTTCCCTCCATCTCAGCTTCCCCCTCGCTCAGCATGTCCTTCTGCAAAGGCGTGGCTGGCTCTTCGGAGTGGAAAATGATGCTCTCGTCACCGATGTCAGCATGGACCGGGGCAGCTGGTGGCTCGCTCGGCTCGCCGCCGTCTTCTGGCTGCACATTTTCTATGCCCGCCGCGAGTGTGGATGCAGAGGAAAAGGGTAGCACGGCGAGGGAGCTCTCATCGTTGGCGACCTTTTCACCGGGATCGGTGCCGGTACCGCCTTGCCTATTTGCAATGCTCGCGACGCTCTCAGTCCTCCTCGCCGCGGCCCCGCTTTGGCCGTAACCCCTCTGCCTAGCCTTGAGCGCGACCTCTCGCGCAGCAGCCTCATCGCGCGCCTTGTCTGCGGGCGTCTTGGCCGCATGCAGTGGCAGGCGCTCACCGCCGCTCTCGAGCCCCTGCGGAATCTCGCCGCCGCGCAGGAACGCGTCGGCCTCCTCGTCGGTCAACTTGATATCGCCAAGGCCGAGCTGAGCAAGCAACTCGTCGGCCGTCTCGGCGCCCACGACGCCCGGCTCGTAGCCCTCGCCGCTGCTGCTGCGGCCGGCGGCGCTGGAGGAGAAAGAGCGGGCTTTGACCTCTTCCATCGCCGTGCGCAGGTCGTGCCCGGATGCGACGGCGTCGCGCAGCTGCTTGCCACTGAACTGTCGGCTAGTCGTCATGGCGGCTGCTTCCGCAGCGAGGGCCTTGCCAGAGCGTTGCGAGACATTGTAGCGAGACAGCGTGCTGGAGGAGGCGCCCGCGTTCAGAGATGAGGCGATGCTCATGCTAGATGGCAGGCCGGATGGTTGAGGGGCAGAGGTGTCTGCTGCTGCTGTTTGCCCTTGTGTTGGCTCAGTGCCAGATCCCATGCGTGCGAATCGCAATGGTTTGACGCCAGCGTTGGCCGATGGAATGTATGTCCGCGAGGGGATGCGCTCGCCTGTAGCCGTCATGGTCGAACTGACAGTCGAAGAAGTCTGATCCAACTCGTCGGCCTGATTTTGAGGTACAGTGTCACTCCCATTGAGCAGTGAATCGACATCTGCGTCGCTGAGGGTCAGGCCCTGAATACCGAGCGTGTCTAGGAACTCGTCAGCAGAGAACTCGGCGCGCTTGCCGCTGCCCACTGGCGCGAACGGCGGAGGCGGCGGGATGGCTGCACATGAGAAGTTGCGCGTTTTGCATGTTTGATCCCCGTTCCGGCCTGTGGAAGGGAGGCCTATTCCGATGGCGTTTGTTGCCGCGCATGCCTCTGATTCTGCGCTGGGGGGTGCCGTTGAAGCTGATAATGATGCAGCAGCCTCCTTCTGCAATCGTTCATGGTCGATGCGCAAGAAGAGGTCCAGCTCCCCGAACTCCACGGCTTCTTCGAATTCTGGAAATGTCCCACGCCATTCGTTGTGGACGAGAAGACCAGGTATAGACGGGTCGACTACGGCCTTGCGGCGCCAGCGTGACTTGGCCTCTGGGTCGGAGGCGAGGTCGTGATAAACGTAGGGAATCTGCGCGAAAAGCAAAATAAGGATTGAGCGATGCAGACATAGTTTGCCCAAAAATCATTCTGCCAGGCCCACCTTTTTGGTCGTCAAGACCGATACGAAGCGCTCATGGCGGGAGCGCACCTTGTGGTTCGACAGGATGGAGGTTGAGAAGAGCTCGACCGCGACGGGCTTGCCGTCTAGCGACAGGGTCATTTTAGGGAGGGACTGGTCCTGACCCTAGCTCTAGTATCAGGACCAGCAATTGAGCTTCGTTGCCAACGTTGTGAGACGTCCGCAGCTGGGCATATTCGAACGTCCGAGTGAAGCTATATCCAAGCGTGTATGTGCGTGCATGTGCACAAGGTGGATATGCAGCCGAGGTATTCATTTTCGTAGCGTTGCTCTCTCGCGCTCTCTCGAAGGGGGAGTCCCGGCGAGCAACGCCAGTGTTGGCAGGGAGCAGGCTGGCAGCGCGGGAATGGGGAACAACAGCACTGTATCTGAATCTGACAAATGCAGTGAGCAATTCAATGACGCTTCGCCCGCCGCCCTTCTTCCACTTCCACTTCTACTTCCACCTCCCTCTCCCGTCCAAACTTCGAAACCTATCATCAGCACACATTTTCCGCTGCTGGCCACGCCTCGCTTCTCGTCATCCGTGCATCAGAGCATCAGCAGCCCAGTCTGTCTGCGACTTATTATCGTCAACGCGAAGAGGCCTGAGGAAGCCCCCTACACCACGAAAATGCTGTCAGCCGCCCGTGCAACGTTGCTGTCCGTCGCCTCGCGCCAAGGACGTTCGTCCGCCGTCGCTGTCGCCCGCCTCTCCACTTCTGCGCACCGACAGCAGTCGCTTGTGACCAAGGAGGAGCGATGGACGCAGGAGACCGCCACTAAAGCCTCGCAGCTCATCTCGAGCGGCTCCGGGTTTGACGTCAAGCAGGTGCTGCCGAACATCGAGGCGAGGTGGAAGGACATGCCGACGGAGGAGCAGTACGCCGTTTTCCGTCAACTAGAGGAGATACAGAAGAAGGACTGGAAGGAGCTGTCGATTGATGAGAAGAAGGCTGGTGAGTTATTGCTGAATTAGGCTTGGTCACCCTCGCATGGTCACTCCCTGGCTGGACCCGAAGTTGTGGGTAGACGTCAAGTTGCCATTACACATTCTGCCTATCACAACCCCCATCGAGCAATTGAGGGCTGCGGCGCCTGAAAGAGGGTGCTGAAGCTGAGGAACTGTGGACTGTGATGTGGCCTGCTGTGTCGCTTGGATGTCTTCATGGCTGCGGACTCTAGGGCAGGCAGAATATTGACCACAATCCTTGCCCCTCTTTTTAACCCTTCGTCCCTTTCTCTTTCGGCCCCTACCTCTACTGCGTTGAAATGTGCATGCGCAGCCTACTTCATCAGCTTTGGCCCGCATGGTCCACGCAGACCAATCGTCAACCCAGGCCAGAGCATCCGCACTTTCACGGCCGTCAGCGCTTGCATCCTAGCTGCCTTCGGTGTCTTCTACGGCCTGCGACAGTTCGGTATGTCGCTCATGTTATGTGCTTCGGCTCGTACTGGGAGCCCTCAGCTGATGGCGCCCTTCCTATTTTCCGCCCTTCGCAGCTAACCCGAACAAGCCAAAGACAATGACGGTCGAGTACCAGGAAGCCATGACAGAGCGCGCCAAGGAGGAGAAGCAGAACCCCATCACTGGTATCACCTCGGAAGGCTACAAGGGCAAGGGCCACGTCCAGAGCTCCCTGGCTTGAGCGATTAGCATCTGTGGCAGGTGATGCCGGGACGGTCGGTGTGCAGCATGAATGCTGTGCAGAGGGCACTGAGGAAGAGTGAACACAGTGGTGGTCAGAGGTATGCAGGCGACGCTCCCGAGTCGGCTGCATGCTAGAGGGACGCAGGTTGGGGGGGCAGCGCAGCCGGCTGCCTTGCACTTCGATGGATGCAAAACAGGAGCAGCAGCATCCGCACGCTGCTGCCTAGCCCTGGTCCAGGTGTGTGCTGAGACAAGGATACGCCTGGGCCGAGCGAACGAGCGAAAATGAAGTCCGGTCGACAAAGTTCCAATGAAAGCAGAGGGACGAGACTTGGGAAGGCTGGGCGGGTTTGCTACCACCCACCATCACTATCACCGCCACAATCATCGTATATTGAAATGCAGAATTGACAACCTAGAGCATCTGAACACTCGACGGCGCTACGCGGCCTTTCCTGTCCCACCGGAAGCTCGTATGAGCGCTTCTTTAATCTGCTTGACGCCTGCAGGTGGATGGCTTGCGTATTTCGCTCATGTGAGAGCGCCAGTCTGACAAATGGCAAATGCGCTAGAGATGCATTTGCAAATATGTGATATGTGATCTGCATCTCTTGGGCTACGCACGCGCATAGAAAGGTATATGGCATATATTAATTCTTACAGCCTAGCCTTGTCGTCCGTGCCCTTCAGCTTCTGTCTGAGCAATCCCCTGACGCGCTCCTCCTCTTCTCGTGCCACCTCGTCATCGACCAGCTTCATCCCCGTGAATGCCTCGAGCTTGCGCAGCGCAGGGAGAGAAGAGAGCGGCTCGACGCGGATTGTGTTGATCCCGAGGGAGGCTGCTGCTTTTAGGTTGCTGTGTAAGGGCATGCGGCAGGGCGCGTCAGCTCGGCGGCTATCACAGTCTAGCGAGCTGTAAGGCCCGCTGAAAGAGCACTTACATGCCAATGTCATCCAGAAAGACTGTCTCTTCCGGCTTGAGCTGCAGCTGATCTAGTGCGTACTTGAAAAATCGTGGATCCGGTTTCCTATCAGACGCAACACCCATTCAAGGTGGAAACGGTCAGCATCATACAAGGCTAGCATGGACAGAGTCCCAAACGGTCCAAGAGAAGGTCACGCACCTCATGCCGACGATGGCACTTTCGATGTACATGTCGAATTCAGCTTTGAGGTCCTTGCCCTTCTCGCCCATCCCGATGAACGCAAGCTCCTCTTCCAGCGATCGTTCCTTGCCCTTCTGCGGCCGAGGATCCGTAGTCTTCGGGGCCGAAAAGTTGTTTGTCAACGCTGCAATGCGGAATTTGCCTGATTCTGCCATGAATAAAGACAACGGGGAGGAGGGGTCGTTGTGTTTGAGCCGGTCTAATGTCTGCTCGAGCTCGACACTGCAAAAATGGGAGAATGAGAACTGAACATACGCTTTAACCGTCGAACGGCTGTGAGGACATTGCGATCAGGATTCAGAGATTCTTGCATCATGATGCCGAAGAGCTGGAAGAATATCAGGTAAGAGGAGGCTTTAAGGCCAGATACTACTTTCTACGAAATGTGCATGACGCCGACTCACCTCTCGCCCGTCGACCCGTATTGAATCTGGCAGGCTCGGTACATCTGATGTCGTACAACGGCGCCCAAATCAAAATATTAGAGAATTAATATCTATTTTACCAATTCAACAATGAAGTAGATCACCTATGCCTCGGTTCTTGCAGTACTGTAGGTACCACTCATTCAGCGTTGGCGCATCGCTCAGCTCTCGTCCGAATTGCTCGTAGAAAGTGTATAGATCGAGTTCATTCCGTTCGAAGCGCTGCAAGCAGTATGGGCGCACAAGTCTGTCGCACATCAGATGCCAGGCCTTGAGCGATTTGCATTGTGACTGACCTGGAATGCGCTATTTTGGCCTCGCATCGTGATGGCATGGTTGAGGTAGTGATGAGGCAGGCCGTGAGATTTCTCGTATCTACACGGCCGGGAGTACAGACACAAGGATAGCAAACAATTCAATGGTACGTTGACATCTTCGCATTCGCAGCTCTTACCCACTTGTTGATGCCAACGATTGGACTGCCAACGACAACGCCGCCAATGTCGAAGACGACGCCCTTGATGTTGGACATGATGCCCCCAGCTCCACAGCGGATGATCGGTTCCTCGGAGTTCAGTCTATTGCACTTGGTTCTACGCCAGGAAGCCCGCCCGAACAAACACAAGCGGGCGACAAAGACCCTCTCAAAACGAACAAAGTATCCGTGACATGTCCTGTGGGCATTGCAACCATGATGTTTCCATATTCGACTAGAAGTCACACTCCATTAAGTGCCTTCGATGGGCGAGCCTGAATTCAGTCTTAGTTCACACGCGGCCCGCCCAAAAAGCCGGAGCCCGGTGACAGCAGTGAAATACGCCAGCACTGTGCCTCAGTTGTGGATAAACTCTGCAGTAGCTCAGTCACGTTCTACGCTCCACGCCGTGCAACCTCGGAAGACGGCGACGCATGCCAAAAGGACGTATTGCACACTGACATCAAGTGCCAAAGGATCAATGATATAGCTCGCAAGTCATTGGTTTCAACAACAGGGCGATGGAAGCGCAAACAGAAGGCGAAATTCCGTGCGCTAGGCAAATGCCTTTCGCACGGGCGTCCGTCTTCCAAAAAAACGCTATCGTTTGCGCTTCTTGTTCGTCTGTTCCGAAGGCGGCGTGCTTGCTAATGGCGACTCAAATGTACCCGAGATGACATCTTGCAGGTACGAAGTGTCGAATATGAAGCGATCGACAGATGATATCACACCTAGCGGAATAGATCCACGGTCTTTGCTTGGACCTTCGTGTCTCGGCTGCGGATCTCCGTAGATTGCACGCAGCCTCGCTTCGGTTTTCTGAAGAACGGACTTCTGCTGAGAACTGAGTGCGATCGGAGAGGGCATAGCGAGAAACCCTTTCCTGGGCGCAGTGTTCACCGCTAGGACCTGCAGAATGTCTCTCCAGTTGAGTGTAGCGCGAGCCGCGGTCACTAAGTGCCTTTGCCTGCTGTGGATTATTCCAGGCAGCAAATGCAATACTCGTCGCAGGTGAAGCTGCGTCGAAGTGAGGATGGGGTCCAAGATGGCACCAGGTACGTCCAACTGCTCGAAGTGACGATGCAAAGCTGTATGCTGGTGCGGCTGATTGGCGCCCTCGGGTTCGCGTTGCCCTTGAGACGGCTCACTGTCATATATGGAAGCCAGTGATGGCGACGTCTGCGAACGGCCGTCCTGTGGTGTTTGCGAACCCCGCAAAGGCTGTCGCGTAGCAGATGGCCATTGAGGATGGCCGTCTTTGGAATTGTCTCCAACCGCTGGCGCGACAGTTTTGCTTGGTCCTTCAGAGCCCTGTGGGTGCTGAGCTTTACTCTGCTGCGAGAGGTGCATATTCACAGCACGTCTCCATCGCCTTTCAACGATCGCTTCCACCTCGTCACCCAAGGTCCAAGCTGCCTGAACAGCGTTCTCTGCTGGCAGCACAGGCCAAAAGCAGTCTTCTCGATGAGCTGACGCTTTCCGCCATAAGTCTCGTTCCTGCGATGCCTTCAATATGTCTGCAGATGTCCAAAGGGACTCATGGTCTGGCTCCCTCGTCGCTGATAACGCTGGCATCGCAGGCTCTATAGCCAGCACCTCCCGAGCCTTCCCGAGCTTTGGCGGCGTTCCAGCGGGCGCATTGGGATGCTCTTTGAGATATCTAGCTAGCGCGGCATCGTTTGCGAGGCGAGTCGTCCAGTCATTGGTGATGTCAAGCTGCAAGTTGCGCACAATGTCGTTGAACTCCTGTATCTCACGCCTGGCCAACTCTACGTCCCGCCGCTTGACCTTTGCGCTACCTTCGGCTTTAAAACATCTCTTCGCGGCAAACGCGCGGTAGGCGGATGCGCTGGTCTTGGGTCGAGAGCCAATCTCGTTCTCGCGGCCATCAACGCCTGCAAAATCTTCCTCCAGCCTGCGTCGCAATTCGGGCTGGGTGCGGTGGATGAATGGATCAATTACCCGCTGGCGCTCTCGGGTTTCACAATTTTGCGCTTTCGCCGAGCTTTCAACGTAGTCTGCAAAGTCATCGTCATCCTCAGCCCCAGGGCTGGGGGTGCGCTCGTGACGCGGCGGTAGTAGGAGCGACATGGTCTCTTCCACAAGTTGGAGCCTTGAGAGTCACTGGTGCCCCAAATTCTCGCCTGATTCGCTTTTGAAAGAACATCACATCACCTTTGTGGATGTAATCGCAATTCGCAAGACGTCCGAGTCGTCATTACTATTGCACTATGAACATATATATGGTGGGTTTGTTCTTGTTGTACTAGCCACTAATAAAAGTGCGAGGAGTGACGCACAGATGACTGAAACTCGCCGATGCCTCGCTCTTCGTTTTCTACCCACGCGCCGTGGATTCCTAGATGCAACCTGTGCATGTCACATCACTGTCCCTGTTTACCTACAATGCTAAATCTGTCTCGGGCCAGTGCTACTGAACGACTGTGATTTATTCACCGGTGACGAAGCCTCCCTCCGCCTATTACAACAGCACAGATGCTGAGGAAGGACCCATGTCGAGACGATGGCGCCGCTGCTCAACACGCTCGCGTCGCTGGACCAGTACCTGAATACGCCGTCCCGAGCAGACGGAATCCCAGCCGACCTGGAAGATGAGCTGCGCATGTACGGCTGCCAGATGATCCAGCAAGCTGGCGCACTGATCAAACTACCGCAACGAGCGATGGCGACAGCGCAAGTCCTCTTCCAGCGATTCTGGTTTGTGACTTCCATGCGCGCTTTCAGCATACGCGATGTCTGCACAGGCGCTCTCTTCCTCGCTACGAAACTCGAGGAAACGCCGGTCAGACTGCGAGACCTAATCAATGTTTTTGACTACCTTATGCGCAGAGCGTTGCACTACTCCAAATACAATCCTGGCCCACGGCTAGCACCGCGACCGCATGGCAAGCAAAGGGCGACTGAGGACGACCTTCCCGCGCAAGGGTCACGAGCGGCAGCAGTCCCGCCGTTCGTGTACAAGCCACAGGCGTACCACGCTCAAGAGTTCTACGATGCCAAGGATGCAATGGTCATTGCCGAAATACAGATTCTCAAGCGTCTCGGGTTCAACGTGCAAGTCAACCTGCCTTATGCTACGATGATCAACTACCTCCAGCTGCTCGGCCTGACGGACACTCATCGATATCCCGGCGTCGCTCAGCGGGCGTGGTCCTTTCTCAACGATGCGTACGTGTGGCTGCGCCGTTTTCCTTCGCGAATTCATGAGGCTGATGATGGTCCTTCCTTCTCGGAATGCATATTCAGTCTACAGACCCCCGTCTACTGCCTCTTCCCGCCGCACAACATCGCGTGCGCGGCGGTGTACCTCACCGCAATTACCGCCCAGCCGCCCATCAGTCTGCCGCAGGAGCCGGCACCATGGCACGCACTGTTCGACGCGAGTGAGGGCGAGCTGCGCGCGATCTGCGCGCACATCCTGCGCCTGTACGACGAGCGTCCGGGCGAAGGGCTTGCTTCGCGCGTCAGGGAGGCGTGCGGCGGGATGGCGGAGTTTATGGACAAGCGGCAAGTGCGCGCTTGGATACAGGATAATGCCACTGCGGCAGATAGAGGAGAGGCACGAGGCAGCGAGGAGAAGGCGCGGCCTCCCGCACCGTGGGTGCTCAAGAGTGAGCCAATCCGCTATGACAGCGACGGTTAGACGAAGGAACCGGGGCTTTGGCATATGTAGCAATAGGTGGCTTGCAAAAAAACGTGCACATGGAAAGGCTACAGGAAGCTACGCTTTCTTCCCGCTGTCCTCTTTCCCATCTTTTGCACCCGCCTTGGCATCCCTGACTTTCCCAGCGCCGTCTTTCTCCTTAGCCCCAACGTCCTTGTCTGTGCCAGAAGCGCTGTCGCCATCCACCTCTTCGTCCTCACCCCTGGCATTCTCCATGCGGTTATTGACGAGGCCATGTAGTGCGATGACGCTGCGGATGAGGCTGCTGAGGTACACGACGAGGAGCTGGTCGTTGTTCGCGATACTGAAGCTGCGCGAGATGTCGCTCTTGTCGAGGTCGGGGAGGAGGTTGAAGATGTCCTGCAGGTCATAGATAATCTGGTGGTTTACGGGCAGCTCGCCCTTGACGACAGAGGAGAGGTAGTCCCTGATCTCGACCAGGCGGCTCTGCAGGCCGCGCAGTGAGGCGAGGCGTGACGAGACGCGGGTGGAGAGCGTGCCGACGGTGGTCGTGTCGCGTATATCCCGCAGCAGTTGCTCGACGCCGATCTCCTCTGCTTCCTCTGCTTGGATCTCCGAGGGGACGTGCATGAACGTCCGCTGCGTCGCCGTCCCATCATCCTTGATCTCCTCGACGGCAAAGTACGCATCGGTCGGGATGCCGACGTCGCGTTGCCGCGGGTCAACGATCACCATCACGGGTCGCGGGATGAAGCGTCGCATCAGCTCGTTGATCTCCAGGTCTGACGCTCGTAACCGCGGGCCGGTATGGTACCATCCAATCATCTTTTCGCGAGCTGCGCGCCGCAGCCGAAACGCAAATCGACGCGAAGTATATCAGCATACACTCAACACATGCAGCGGAGGGTGGATTCCTCGCTTGAGGTGACTCACCGTTAACCTTCTTGTACATATCATTCATCGCCTGAATGTAGTCGTGATCCAGGTACCACGTCTTAGGGTCTTTGTCATCCTCCTCGAACGGCACGGCGAAGCTGTTCGCGACATTAACCACCTTGCCATTGTCCTGCCCGAGTAGCACACCGACGACGCGCTTCCGCGCGCCTGATGCGGACCGCGCCGCGTGGTCAGTGACGGAGAGCAAGACGAGTGGATGGACGATGACGGTGGTCGACGCTAGTTGCGTCGTCTGTGTCACGCGAAGGGGACAGCAGTAGGAGGCGCAGACGCAGAAAGCGGCCGCGTTAGTCATAGTCGCCATCCGTACAGCCTGCCTCCTATGCTCTAGGAAAGGAGACAATAGCTCACCTCTGCTGTGGTCGCCGGCATGCTGGATGACGGAAGTGTCTTCTGGTGAAAGTAGCCTTCCTGTCTGACGGAGCGCTCCGCCTGCGTACTAGCCCTCCTACTCTGCGAGAAGAAAGCGAAGATGAGGCGCGGCGGCTTCTCTTCTTTCTCCCTATGCGAGTTTGCACTGTCTTTCCTTGGCCTCCTGGCGTGCTGCTACGGTCCCCCCAATAAATTCTCGTTGACCGCGCTCTGTCTTTGCGGACACCACCTGATGTTCAGCAGCATGATGGAGCGTGGCACGACCAACGATGAGGTTCAAGCGGAAAGGGCCGCGCAGTCTCTTTGTCGAGGTGCGGAACACGTGCTCTCAGCCTGGACCGCGGGCCATGAACCACTGCCGAATTGTTTGAGACTCACTCGGGGCTTGATCGGCGCGGGCGCGTCTCGTCCCCAACAGCGATGGGTCACGTGCCGTCTACCCTAACCAAGATGCTTACCTAATCTATCGTTTTTGCGGGCGGGCCGCTGTTGTTGCTTGCCTGTGCAAAGACGGCAGCAATGACGTGCAGCGCCAGGCACTGCGCTGCGGTGTGCGCTGCAGTGCAGTGTAGTGCACTGAACCTATTATCTCATCCCATGTTGCGAGCATCACTCCCTGCATGGTTCCAGGGGGGTGGGGGGAGGGGGGCGAACTGCTCCACTACTCCCAATCCCACACAACAACAGGTCAACCCATCCATCTCGCAGTGGCAACAAGCAGCCAACAGCAAACACGGCTTGTCCCATACGAAATCGAATGCGGCCACAGACCAGGCCCATTGTCCAGTAGCCGCACTCCTCCTCTCCGCCCTCGCCCGGTCACACTGACCGGTTCTGGCGGGGTTGCTGCGCCGGCGCTGCTCTACCTACACACACACAGCCAAGCCACGGCTGTGGGCTTTGCTTGCTCCTCTCCCCTCGTTGCTTTGGGTTGCTGATGCTGGTTCATCACACCCACCGTCATACGCTTGCTTGCCTTGTTGCATCATTCTCTGACGAGGACATCCTGGTTCACCCTCCCTCTTCTTCCACTCTCTGTGACGGAATGCTGTCTACTGGCCCATGATCATATTTACATGTACACGCGCAGCTCTCCCTTCTCTGGCAGCGGATCATCTCACCTCTCTTCTCCCCGCTTGTCACACACTGCTTCCAGCTTCGTCCCTCAACCCTCTTCCCTGCTAGACTACCCCCATTGCCCAGCTTCACCCCATCCCTGCTGCCACTTTTCTTCTTCGCAAAGATCCCCACCACCTCTACCCATACCCTCTCATCGCTCGCTCGCTCACCCCTTCAGCTCTGTTTTGCCAGGGCTGTGCGCTACGCTTTCGGCCTTGACAGATCGTACAAGAGGGTGCGAACCCCTTGGGACGCAGCCCAAAGATGGACTACAGCCACTCAAATGACATCGACTACGGTCGCCCCACCACCTCGTCCGGACGCCCTGGCACATCTTCAGGCCGGCCGCACACCAGTCGACCGGGTACGAGCTCGGGGGGCGGCGCCGCGGCCCCGAGGTTTGGCTCGTTCGCGAACGGCGACGCAGCGGTAGGCGGGGCCAATGCCAGCTCTTCGCACAACGCGCCAGCGTTTGGGACGGGCGCACACACACCCAACGCCTCCTCATCTCGCCCTGGCACTGGACGCAAACGCAGAGGTACCGGAAGTCGCGCCGGCACGGCGAACACGCTTCAGGGAATGGAGCTCAATCCGTACGGGATGGACGACCTGTATGAGGATGACGAATGGGACGATGAGGAGAGCGATGATGGTGACGTCTTTGCGTTCAAGCCGCGTGAGTACATCAACGTGGAAACATGCCTGGGCCGCAGCGCCGGTTGCTCACTGGAAGGCACTCCCTCCCTCTCTCATTTGTTCTTGGACAGCTGAGCTTGGACCGAGCGCTGCGATCATGGACGACCTAGTTTGGGAACAACACCGCCAAGTCGGCAACATGCCAGCGAGCAGCGCCGTCGCATCCGCACCGTCCACCATCGCTGCTTCCGCTCCAGCGTCGGCGTCAGCACCAGGCGGCGTGACCATGCAGTCATCCCGAGCTGGAGATCATCGTGCGCTTCCTCATCAAGCCGTGCAGATCGGCGAAGAGCTCGACGCGGCTGAGGAAGAGGAAGAAGAGGAGATGTTTTACTACGACGAAAAGACTGGCGCAGTGTACGATTCAGAAGGTCGGCTGGTCGAGACCAATCCGGATTTCGATGCTTCGCAGGTACTCGCGATCGCCGCATCTTCTGTAGAGGGGAACAGCGTCCCACCTGTACCCCTTCTGCCAGCGACGGTTCCACCGCCACTGTCCTCCGCACCGCTCTCCAAGACCGGCGCGTCGCATGCGTCATTCACTCCAACGGCAGCGTCTGCAGCAGCAGCGCAGGTCTCCAATGGTATCGTCCCGTCCCGGTCGACCAGCTCGTCTAGTCAAACGCCCAAACGCAACTCCTCCGCGATCTCGCTCAAGGCCTTCAAGCGCCTCTCGGCGCGCGATCTAGGCTACACTGCCTCCGGTGCCCGCGCGCCAGACGAGGAAAACGGCCCCATAGTCCGCGTCTTGTCCCCAACGCCCGGCAGCAATGGCGTCGGCGGCGGCAATTATCCCAGAAAATCGCAGCCACCAGCGTTCTCGCCGCCACATGCGATGGAGATGCTTGAACTCGATCGACGGTACATCGCCTCGGGCGATACGTTCATCGACATTGATGAAGCGCCAGAGATGCGTGTACGCAAACGCACGTCGTCGGCCAGTAGGCATGCGGCCGTCGCTGCAGCAGCAACCATGGGCGCAGGCAGCAGCACGGAATCACATCGCACCGACGTACTGCACGCCTCAACTTCGCGCACCGCCTTCGAGTCGTTCTTCTCGACCAAACAGCCGTACAAGGGTGCATACACGATGAATGAGTACGAAAAGGCTTTCAACTCTGGCGCGATTGCCAATGGGAAAGATTGGCAGGAGCAACAGCAGCAGCAGCAGCAGCAAGGCGAGCCGATCGAGGTGGGCTCGCGTGGCTTACGGCTCATCGCGCTCGAGGTCGAAACGGAGGAGGACTCACCGTTCCCAGAAGTGCGCGCTTCAGTTAGCAACGTTGATGATCCCAGCATGCCCGTGTCGACCTTCCGGCTCTGGTTTCTCGGCTTGTTCATCTGCAGCATCGCCGGCGCCGCCAACACGGTCTTCAGCTTCCGCTACCCTGCGCCACAGATCTCACCGCTGCTGATCCTGCTGCTGGTCTACCCGCTAGGCAAGCTGATGGCCGTCACTATGCCCTACCGCGCGGTGCAGCTGCCGCGCTGGCTTGGCGGCCGCAGCTTCACGCTCAACTCGGGCTTCTTCAATGTCAAGGAGCACTCGACCATCACGCAGATGGCTAACGTCGCTGTCGGCCAGGCGTTCGCGCTCAACGCCGTCATTGCACAGGACTCGCCCATCTTTTACAACGACCCCAGACCCGTCGGCTTTGCCATCATGTTCACCCTCTCCTCTGTTCTCTTCAGCTTCGGCCTCGCGGGCATGTGCAAGCGCCTGCTCGTCTGGCCCGCCTCGATGATCTGGCCGCAGAACCTGACCGTCTGCACCATCCTTAACACACTCCACGCCGAGGAGGACGGGCAGGACGGGCGCATGACGCGCTTCAAGTACTTCTTCATCGTCCTCGTCGCCGCCTTTTGCTGGAACTTTGTCCCCAATTTTCTTTTCACAGGTCTTTCCGTGTTCAACTGGGTCTGCTGGATCGCACCGCAAAACAAGTACGTGAACACGCTCTTTGGCGCGTCCAACGGCCTCGGCATGAGCGTCCTTACGTTTGACTGGAACCAGATCAGCTACGTCGGATCGCCCATGATCACGCCCTATTGGGCCGTCTGCAACCTCATGGTCGGCTTTGTGCTCCTCGTCTGGATAGTTTTCCCCACGCTTTACTTCACAAACACGTGGTACTTTGGCTTCCTCCCCATCCTTGGTGGCAGCGCCTACGATCGCTTCGGCAAGCCGTACAAGATCCGCTCGGTGCTCGACGGAATGCTGCTCAACAAGGAGCTCTATGAGAGCTACTCGCCGCTGTACATCCCCGTCAACTACTTTGTCGTCTACTGGTGTGGTCTCGCCCTTGCCACTGCCATGATCGTCCACACCGCCTTGTACCACGGCAAGGGCATCATGCAGGGGCTGCGCAACAAGAAGGTGGAGAATGACGACATACACGCTACCATGATGCGACGGTACAAGGAGGTCCCTGACTGGTGGTACGGCATGCTGCTCCTCATCAGCTTCGTCATGGCCCTCATCGCGATTGAGGTGTACAAGATCGGTCTGCCGGTCTGGGCGCTGATGCTGTCGTTGCTCATACCTACCATCTACATCATCCCATCGGGCTTCATCTTCGCCATGACCGGCCAGATCATCAACACCAACCTGGTCACCGAACTCATATCTGGCTACGCACTGCCCTCGCATCCGTTCCCGAACTTGGTCTTCAAGGCATATTCGCTCGCTGGAATCAGCAGCGGCCTGACCTTCGTGCAGGACCTGAAGCTCGGTCACTACATGAAGGTTCCACCACGAATCAGCTTTGCTGCGCAGGTGACCGCGACCGTCTGGGTCATCTTTGTCCAGATTGGTATGAAGATGTTCATGTTCAGCAAAGTCTCCTTGCTTTGCTCGAGCGCCGAGCCGCACAACTTCACTTGCCCGATCGCGTCGGTGTACTACACCTCGAGCATCGTTTGGGGCATCATCGGCCCGCGCCGCATGTTTGGCCCGGACTCGCTGTACAGCTCCATGTACTATGCTCTGCTCGTCGGCGCGCTGGCGCCGCTGCCCTTTTGGTTCCTCGCACGCAAGTACAAGGACTCAAAGTGGAAGTTTGTCAGCTCGCCGCTCATCCTCGCCGGCTCGGCGTATGTCCCACCGGGAAGCGGCCTGAATTACACCAGCTTCTTCCTCGTCGCTTTCATCTTCCGTGAGTGCTGTGTCGCTGCATGATGGACCCGTTGGGGCAGCGTTCGGGAGGAGACTGATCTTCGTATGCGCCGATCTGAATCTATTGTTTCAGAATACATCGCGCGCCGCCGATTCTTTAGCTGGTGGTCCAAGTACAACTTTGTTACTTCCTCCGCCATGGACATGGGTACAGCGCTTAGCATGCTCTTCGTATTCTTTGCGCTCACACTGCCCAAAGGCGGTGCCATCGCGCTCAACTGGTGGGGCAACAATGTTCCCTTTGAGACGGCCGATTTCCGCCATGTGCCCTTGCTGCAGGTACCCGAAGGGGGATTTGGACACACGCCGGTGAGTCTACATCCTGCCAAATCGGGGCCCAATGCGCCGAGAAATGTGAATGCTGAGATGCACCTTGCTTCGCGTTGCTTTCCCTTGCAGAAATTCTGAAGCGCCGTCGACGCAAGCCTTCCTGCTCATCTGAGCCGATCTACCGCTCCTTCCATTGGCATTCATAGCCCAACGCTTTGTGAATGCTGTTCTACTGTAGTTCCCCGGGGTTCGCATTTTAATGGGGTTTAGGTGCAGTCGTTCGGCAGCACACGTTCTTTCTTGTAGCATAGAGCTCGCAGCTTGTCTCAAATTCGCCAAGGTTGCGCCCAACTTGCGTCAAGGACGGCCTCTCTGACCGATGTGCAGAGAGGTGTGGTGTGCACCGTATTCTGCATGCGCCTTGAAAATGCACGTCTGGTGGATGTCACGGGTTGCTGTAGGGGCGCGGAGAAAGGGGGGGGAGTCGACTCGTCTGCGATCTCATCGGGAAATCAAGGGGTCTTTTCGAGGTGGTGCCATCGGATCATACCCATAGCCTCGCGGATGCATGCCAAGTATTCGTCGTATCTGGAGCATGGCGCACGGGGATTGATGAGCCTCCCGGCAGCAAATCGGACCATGACTGTTGCGAAGAGCAACCTACCGGACTGAAGACATTCTCTTTCTCGCCAAAATCATGCCATACTACAGCATAGCCAACGCAGCCCACTGCAAGCACACCACCAAGGAGCTGTGAACCTTTCTGTAATCGCGTCGGCGGTGGACCGCCTAGCTCGGGTTTGGTCACCCTCCGCAAGTACGTTTCGCTCCTAGCCCGAAGCTTCTCGGTGGGCTCCTGCCCTGCGTCCACAGCGTCAAGAGGCCCCGATCTTCGCGAGGTGAGATTGCTTGGGAAGAGCCGAGATTGCGGCGCTTTCCATATTGAGTCTGGCACCAGAGGCTCGGCGACAGCAGATGGGTTCGAAGTGGTCGATGGTGATGCAGGCTCGGAACCAGGGTCGGGGTGTGTGCCCGAGCTGCCGGGTGTTGGGGAAGGCATGCTGCCCAAAGCCTCCGGTTGGCTTTGTGCGGATTGAAGCGTCGTGGTAGTGTGGTCAAGCGTATCAATGCTGCTGCGAACAAGTGATGATGTACATCGCACGTTAAACTTAGGAGGAAAGCTCGCTGGAAGAAGCTGGAGACGGAGAGAGCAATGGGGTGTGTGCGAGAGACCATCAAAAAAAAGAACCACCCCCTTGATCATCACTTTTGACTGCAGCGGTGCCGCGCTGTTCCTCTCACTCGTCTTACCGTGTGTGTGGTGCGGAGGGGGGGGGGCTGTGTGAGAGAGCGCGCCCCAGCCTTCCAGCACATCCAGACAGACTCATTCTTCCTTCTTCCTGCCGTCTCTGTTCTATTACACCTGAAGCGTCCAACGCAATACCGATACTTGTAGGACCTAGATAGCAGCGTCAGACTACTAGATCGTTGCAAGATGGCTGCCAGTATCGAGGAGATCACGGACGATGTCCAGGACGTGAGTGGCCCGGTGGAAATACCCGGCCCTTCCGGAAGGAAGCTCTGACCGAACCTGTCTCCACGCTGACATCACGCACCCGATTGCATTGCTTGACGGTGTCAATTGCAGATCAACGTCAACCAGGACGACTCTTCCGACGCTGGCGATGGCGAGGTTGCCATCCCGGACCGCGTCCAGTCAAGAGCAGAGCGCAAGAGTAGGAAGGCCCTCCAGGGCCTAGGCCTCAAGAAGATCGATGGCATCACAAGGGTCACCATGAGGAGGCCCCGTGGTGTGAGTGAACTTGTTCTCGGGTACTATTTGAGAGAGGTAGGGTCCTGACTTGGCACCTGCACGATTGATAGCACCTCTACGTCGTCGAGAAGCCCGATGTCTACAAGTCTGCCATCACCGATGTGTACATTGTCTTTGGCGAAGCCAAGTCCGAGGACATGTCTGCCGCACTGCAGGCCCAGCAGGCGCAGATGGCCGCCATGCAAGCTCAGCAGCAAGAGATGCAGGGCCTGGGAGACGGCAGCGACTTTGCCGCTCAGGCCGCCGCGCTCGCTGGCGCTGGTACCAGCGAAAAGAAGGAGGAAGAGGAGGAGGAGGATGGCGAGCCCATTGACGAGACGGGTCTCGATACAAAGGACATCGAACTCATTATCCAACAGGTGCGCTGAGCCATGAATAGGCACCAGAAATGCGCAAATAGCTGATGCTCGATTGTGTCATCTCTCAGACTAACTGCTCCCGTCGCAAGGCCGTGAAGTCCCTCAAGGCTAGCGATGGTGATCGTGAGTGCGAATAGTTTCCACACCCGAGCGGAAGAGTTGCTCACGTCCTTTCATCTTGCCATATGCCTTGCAGTGGTGTGTTTTCATTCAATCAGCTCTCTTTCCAATCTGTTCCTTGCCGAATTGACACTAACTCTCATGCCACCTTCCCTTTCCCCCACTCTTTCTCCGGATGATCCCCGCCCTCGACTTTCTCGCAGATCGTGAGTGTCTCGATGCGCTAAGACCGTGACATATTGCTGACCATCAGTCCCTTCCGCATGTGCCCACTGCAGAATGCCATCATGGCAGCATCCTAAGCGGGATGGGTTGCCTTTCCTCCCCGCCGCCGACGGATGCAAAGATTTGCTGCCAGCTGTAAAGAGATCATGCACACATGCATATCGATGTACAGTAGTCTTCCACAAAAATTACACCGGCACTTGCTGACAACCTGAAAAATGGTCATTTGATCATGCGAGCTTCAAGGCCTCCGAGGGTGCAGCTATGCCTGCGCTTTCATATGAGTTTTGCCTCTTTCGGCTGGTCGGTCGTGCGAATATGTGGGGTCTTGCTGAAGGTGTGCTGTGTGCAGACATTCGGAGACCGCCCTGAGGAGGAGTCCCGCAAACTCTCTCCAGTCGCTGGTCGCAAGTCACAAAAGGCAGGGGCAGGGCGGGCCGGGCGGAATGAGTATCGAATTCAACTTTCTGGTGAAGTGGCAATGGCACAGCACTGGGGCAGTGTATGCGACTCTGACAGGCACCGACATTTCGCACGCGCGCATAACCGCACGTCCGCTTAAGGCAACAGCTGCAAGAAGCGATTAACCAGCGCGCGCATGAAACGGAATCCAGATGTACTCTTCGCATCAACGCCTGATCCTCTCCTTTGGCTGCTCGGCGAGGTTTAGAATTCATGCATCCAACTTCTCCTCGGGGTTTGGTATATGACGAGCAGACAAGCAGAGTGTTCGGCACCCACGCCAATTCTTCACGACCTCACTCCCGACGACCTGCTGCCTTTGACGCAGTGGTGGTGTGCCTGAACGAAGCCCGTCGCATTTCGGACGGCTGCAGACTCAGGGGGCACCGAAGGAAATTACCGCCAGCATCCATTTGCAAACAAGCTTGACATTACGCATTCATCACGTCAAAAGCAGACGAGGACGACCTGTGACGAGCATACGATAGGGACGCAATCAGCAACGAATCAATACGCACCATCCCCTCGATCATCAGAACACGACTGGGTACATCACCAAGTGACTTCGAAGCCTCGAACGCTGACACGAAGCACCATATTTCGCAACTTCAAGAACTTTCGTTAAGATGGCACCGAATCTCGATTTGGGAGCGCTCTCCCTACAAGACAGCCCACAGCGTCGACAAGGCGGCGAGGCTGGGGCCGGCTCGTACGGGTATGCATCCGGCGCAGGCCGCGCAGGGGACTTGTCGCCCTTCCGCTCCGGTGGCGGCGGCGGCAGCACGCATTTCCGAGGCGGGTCCGCAAATGGTACTGCTGGGGCAGACGCTTTTACTGGGGCTAACGCGCAGGGTTCGCAGCAGAGCGCTTCTGCCCGGTTCGAGCGCTTCTTTGCACCGAACGAGCATTCCAACCCTCCTGTCCCCTCGGGATGTGGCGCGTTCGGAAGCTTCACCTCTGGGATGCCGCCTGCTGGTATGGCGGGACCAGGAGGCCAGTTTGGCTCCGATAGCAGTGCAGCGTGGCGGGGGCTACGAAATGCATTACCTTCACAATGGGGCCATGGGCACGCAGATGGCCATGCTGCTCCGGGCGTTCTGGCACCCGGTTTCAGCTACAGTGCTCCGGTCGATGATGAGGTGATCCCTACTGCCATTGTCATCAAGAACATCCCGTTCTCGATCAAGCGCGAGCAGTTGCTGGCGCTGATCGAAGAACTGGCCATCCCCGTTCCGTACGCATTCAACTACCACTATGACCAGGGCGTCTTCCGCGGACTCGCTTTCGCCAACTTCCGCTCTGCGGAGGAAGCAGACGGTGTCGTTGCTGCGCTGAACGGCTTCGATGTCAGCGGGCGTAAGCTCAAGGTGGAGTACAAAAAGGTGCTGCAGGCGGGAGAGAAAGAGCGCATCGAGAAGGAGAAGGCAATCAAGCGCATGCAGAGCATGCAGATGGAAAAGGAGAAAGAGAAGGAGCGAAGAATGCAAGATGAGGTGATTGCTGCTGCCGCTTTGGCAGGAGGCATGCCCTCCCTCCCACCCCAGCATACACAGATGAGTTCCCTCAGAGGCGCGGCACCAGCACCGCAACTCGATTCCCCCGATTCTGGCTACGGTGAAGTGTACACGACTCGTCCCGTGCCTTTGACCGCCGATTCGCTACGAGCTCTCCCAGATGTGGACGACAGCTGCAGGCGTGCGGCGCACTCCGCACCTTCCGACATATCTGGTATTGGCGGCGGAGCAGGCGCTGCAGGTGCAGGCGCGGGCGCGGGCGCGGGTGGTAGCGGCAAAAAGGAAGAACTGGACTTGAATGAGCCGGGTACTCTGGAGATTTACTCGCGCGTCCTGCTTTTCAAGGATGATCGCATGCGTGATGAGCTGTCCTTTTCGAAGAATCTGAGCCCCCTAGAGAGGAGGACGGTGCACTTGGTCGCACAAAGGCTCGGTCTGTACCACTACTCTATTGGTGAGGGCGAGGAGAGGTGCGTGATTGTCTCCAAAAATGAGACAAACCAGGGCCATCGCGTGAGTGCCCTGTTGAGAGGGGTTCGGTCTATCCCTTTGCGTAAAGCGAGACTGACAACGGATTTCCGCTCGTTGCAGCCCTTGCGCAGCCAAGCGTCGACGATCGGCCGCTCGCATCGCGGCGGGGAGGCGTTTTCGCAGGCGGGCGCCTTTACTGCCAACGGCATGCTCAGCCCTGGCAGCAGCGCAACGACGGGTCGAGCGGCCGCGCTGCGTATGAAAAAGTCAGCGCCAGACATGAAGCGGGTGCACGACTTCAGCTATGGCAGCAGCGCGATCCCGGGCGGCCCAGGAGGCTCGCCGGGACGATACGCAGGCGACCTTGCCCTGCATCATCAAGGTTTGAATGCATTCAAGTCGAACGGGAATCTGCGAGATGGGTATTCGTCCACTGTCGGCAGGAGGACGGTAGCAAGCGCCGGCGCCGGCGCCGCTGGCCTTCAGGTGAGCCGCTGAACAAGCGGGCCACTCAGCGAACACAAGATCATGGACTGACGCACGATGCACAATATTCATGGCACGTGACCACCACCCCTACAGAGCCTGTTCTCGTCGCCATACGAAGTCCCGCCGGTGCCTACGCTTGGTGGCCCAGTCGCGAATAGCACGCTGGAGAATGCCTCCAGCAGCAACAGCAACGGCTTCCCGTCCCCGAGCAGCAATGCCGCCAACTTGCTGCGCCAGCCGCGCGGTCCAGCGTCTGAATTGCGGAACTTTGCCCGGTCGCGCGTCTCAGTAGGCGGCGGCGGCACAGCTGCTAATGGGGCCAATGGTGCAGCAGTGCCGGCAGCAACAGCCACAGCGGCAGTAGGGTTCAGCTTGTCGCGTGGGGAGGCTGCAGGAAATGGCGGATATGGATACAGCCAGCAGCAGCAGCAACATGACGATAGGCTGGACGCGCAATCACACACTCCCCTCGAATTCTGATTGGCACGTAATCGCTTTCAACCGACCACCCTCTTTTCTCTCTTTGCAAGGCTAGAGTCTACAGCAACAGGCAGCGCAGTCAGTCACTGTATCCCAAGACGTAAATTCTAATCCATCCATCCATCCAGTCATATGCGGAGCGACGAGTTGAGACGTACTGCACCATCATCAGCGTCACTGCTCCTTGATTGACACTCTGGACGCTCCCCCTTGAAGGCTCGAAAACTGTGCGCGCCATGGGACTGGCACAGTGTGATGGAGTAGCGACTGCTGACTTTGCCTTCGGCGTGCATCTGATGGCACCTTGTATGGATATGCACTGATGGTTCTTCACCCCCTCTTTTTCTCACGCGAGAAGCCGACAACGACCTTGCAAGCGAGGAGCGTAGGCGCGGTGGGAACTAAGCGGCAGCCCCGCACCGCCACACATCATGGCGGTTTGCGCAGGAACGGCTGATTCAGCACAATCGGTACATATGAAGGCACTTTTCGATGCGGGGTCATATGCCCTCTGCCCTATTTCCTGTACCTTCCCCTCCTCCCCACTCACGATTCCTCGTTTTCAACACACTACTACCAGGACCAGCACCATTCACATTGCAAGCGACCATGCGAATGCTGCCACCTTGCTTGATCCCACCAGTGCAAATTGGTCCCACAGAATCCGGGGTGCGACGAATGCCCCCTGTATGCGTTCGCTGCTGGATTGCATGTGTATGCCGACGAGTACAGAGCTTGCGGCAATGCCCTGCTTCGGTTTATATAAAGGGGCGAATCCTGCCCAGCTCACGATCCCCAATCTCCATCCACGTTCCCATCCCCAGTCCCCCAATCTTATCGTTCCTCCCCAAGTTCTCGTTTTCTGGAACCGTGCATCCCCCTCACAAGCTCTGGCAGCTTTGAGACAACGTTCGACGCTCGTATTCGCAACGCCTTGCAGAAAACGAAATTGCTGGCTCACTCGACTACGTACACAAATTCTCGCCGCCTCACCTAAACAATGATCGCTGGACGATTCATCACCACATTTCTCTTCGCTGCCGTGTCCTGTGTGCACATTTCTAGCGCGACCTCCATCCCAGACACGTGCGTTAATCGTGACGCGGAGTGCCCCGTGACACATTCATGGCTGGCTGCTGACGAGTAGACTTTTGACCTGACACAGACACGTACGCACCGTCATGAGCAATGCAAGGAACTCGAAGCACGCCCGGTTTGTTCAACGCCGTGGCGGACTAAAGGGCCGCCACGCTTGGAATTACAACTCAGCCCCATCGAGCTCCTGTCCTACCAGCTGGTCCGGCTCTGGCTCATCTGCTGATGGTTCTGACTCGGACTCAGGCTCTGGGTACGGATTTGGCTCAGCGGACTCTGAGGCTGGCCCAGCCGACACCGCCACGAACTCCGCGTCTGGGTCCTCCAGCATAAGTAGCAGCGACACTGGAACGTTCAACATTGCTCCCTCCAGCTCTTCAGGAATCTCCGGCGCTGCTGTAGGCAGTCACACTGGCCAGCTGACCTGGTACGGTGAGTCGTCTCGTCGTTGAGCAACCTCAAGTGAGAGGCTACCTGCTGACGGTGAGAACGCACCTCTTACAGCAACTGGCATGGGATCTTGTGGCTGGACCAACACAGATGTGCGTGTCTATCGATGCATAAACTGTCTTGCGTGCTGACTCGACTCGCTGATGCTGTAATGATGCGCTTCTACAGTCCGATATGATTGCTGCAGTGTGGGTAACACGTGGTTAACATTCCATTGCTGGCAAGAAATTCTGAATCCTCGTTTTCGTTCTGCATCTGAAGCTCGCATACTTTGTACGACCAATACACAACCACGCCCGGCAACCCGAACAACAATGACCTGTGCGGCAAGATGATCGACGTCAGCTACGGAGGCAAGACGGTGCGCGTCAAGATTGTCGACAGGTAAGTGCATGTGCTGGCCTCGATATTCAGCCGTCTGATGTGCTCAGTGCTCATCACACAATGCAATCTTTGCACGACACCTTCCAGATGCGAGGGCTGCCAGGAATACGACGTGGACTTGACGACTACCGCCTTTTCCCAGCTTGCCGACCTCGGCGTTGGTCGTCTGTCCGGCGCAACGTGGCAGCTGGTGTGATTCTGCAACCTGGGTGCTAGACCCATCAGTCCAATGTATTCATTCATTCAATGCTCTAGAGGCTGGTCCTCATAATTGTATATGCTAATTACATAAAATGCAAGTGCTGCCTCTCGCTCTTCTCAAGCCAGCTTGCAACGCTGACCTCGGTGTTGCAGTGCAGGGAGCCGGCGACGGCGCTTGTTGGTGACGAGGAGCATTCAATGCTCGTCCGTGGTGGGTGGGAAGAACAAGATTCGAGATCTGAATTGAGTACAATTGAGTTGTCAGTGGGCTGCTCGCTCGCTTCGGCTCCAACTGAGCCGCTTGGCTGATGCAAAAGTGGTCTGTGCTGTGATAACCGACCGCATTTCAGCCACACCACCGATTAATACGTAGGCCTGGCCAACAAATTGATGAGATGCAAGGCATGTATAGAGCAAAAGACAAGCGGTACAAGTACAGATTACAGTATAGTCCATATTGTCAGTAGGCGCTGAAGCTGCCCT